GTTATACTTTCTGACCAAACATGCAAAAAAATAAAATCCAGAATTTTATTTTGCTTTTCCAGTTATTATTATTCCTATTTGGTACATTTAGGTATGCAGTTTTCAATTTGGTAAATCCATTTTATTTTTCTATTATTTTAACTTAATATATTTTTAAATTGACAAATTTATGTCAGATTGTTAAATACGTTTTCTTTGGAGACGTTATACATTAATTTGGGATCATATCTGTTGTCAACATTGCACTATTATTAATCAATCCTAATGATAAATTGTATAAAATTCACAAAATGTCATATAAATTTTGTATTTATAAATAAAAGAAGAAATTCTTTTACATTGATATAATTTTTATATTTTTTATTATTAAATAAAAATTAAATTCATATTTATTTGAATTAAAATAATATTTTTAAATTTAATAATTTTGATTCAATAATCCAAACAAATTTAAGAGTTACATTTATATAAGTGATCATTTCTTAATAAATAATAAGTTCTTATGTAATATTTTGATATGATTGTGTAATCATATAATTATAATTAGAAAAATATATAAATGAAGTGTTCTTTTGTAATTGAGACTTATATATAATATTTCTATGAGCATTTGATGATTAAAATGGTATAGTGATTTTTTTTTTCTTTAGAGCTCTGAGCAAACAATTAAAAGTAATTCAAACATTTATGTTGACCTGACTTGATACACTTAGTATCATATCAACTTGATCATGTTGTTATCATCCTCTATGGTCATTTATCTCTTATCTATAAATATAAATGTTCAAGTATCTGTAAAGTAAGTTTTATCTACTCCTCATCTTTTATATTGCTTTTTTTTTTTTTTTATATTGATTTATACGTCGAAATATAAACACGAAAAACTTTATTTACATTTATATCTAACCGCTTTCTTTTAAATATTTGTTTTTTTAGGAATATCTCTACATTATATCTCAACATTAACAAGTATATTTAATAATAATGAACCATAAAATCAAAGTTCAACATTAAGATAAAAAAATATACTTGTCTCATTTTCATTTTTTGTCTTGAGTGTTGGATTACTAAGTTTTGTACAATAAAAATAAAATGCTTATTTGTTTTTTTTTTTTAATTTATTCCTTATTTTATCTCTCATTTATCAAACAATTTTAGAAAAGATTTGCTCAAGTTAGACTAATTTTTCAACTTGTAAGCTTGACATGATTTGAGTTAAGTTTTAAATAAATATTTTTGAGTTCATTTTTATTTACTTTTTATTTTTAGTAACAAGTGGCGAAGTTAATTTTAAAATTGATTATTTTGAATTAATACAAATTTTAATATATGTGAGAAGTCCTTTGTCTAACTTGAAACATTAAATTAATAATTAAAATATATATTCTAAATTTTCAAACTTTTTGAACTTAATGGACCGGATCAAAACTTTGGACAAAACCTTTAAACGCCTGACCAGGTTTGGCACAAGCCGATTCAACCATGGATAAGTTTCCACAAGCAAATTTTTCTTTTTTTTGGATTTTTTTTATAGGTTTCCCATTTTTTCCTCCCATTAGAACGTAGGAAAAGGATCTCAAAGATTTTTAACCTTCATACACAACAGTTACCGATGCACTCAACTAGGTGACCTTCTCTCTCATTTTTCTTTTCAAATTAAAGCACTTTTTTATGAACTATGTCCACTAAAATAGGCATTGCGTGTTACCATGTTCATTGGCGGAAGGGTCATGTAAAAAAACAAGGGTCAAATCATAAAATTGGGCTCAAAAAACATGTGAGAAAAAAAAAAAAACACTTAAAGATGAAGGATCCATTTGTGAATGTGATCGTTCACATTCAAAACTTATATACTTGGCATGCATTTCCATTCTTAAAATTCAAGAATTCACAAAAAAATGCTACAATTATAAGGAAAAAAAAAAGAAAATTTTGATAACATGATACTGATAATTTAAAATGTTACATAATAATATGATATAAATATAATATAAAGATAAGAGATAAAAATAATACGAATTAAAATTTTAACAATAATTATAAATAGATTTAACAAAAGTAAAAAATGTATCATGTTTTTTTATCAACATAAATTATAATAGGTAATTTTTATATAAAATATGATATAAATATACTAATTTTAATAGTTTATATGAAACAAATACACCAATCATTAAAATAAAAAAAATTTTAAAAATTTTTATTTTTTATTAATTTAGTTTTATAACCAACTTAATCGAATTAAATAAAATTTAAGTTAATATAACAAAATCTAAATATAAAATAAAGTACACAAAAAAATCATTTTATTCTAAATGGTTAAAATTTTAAATATAATATTTTGATATTGAAATATTTTGTTAAATATTTTTATTTAAATTATTTAAATATGATAAAATAAAAATTATAATTATAATATAATTTAAATATATTTATTTTTTTGTTAATAAAAAAATTTAGCCTAAATGATTTAATAAATCGGTTAATTTTTAAAATTAATAAAATCGATTTGATTAATAAAAATAATATAATTCAATTAATTTAATTTTAAATTATTGAATTCAAAATTAATCAAATAAATACTCTAAATAAAAGTGCAACTCTAAAAATTTCCCCTTCTTCCGTTGTCCTCATTTTTATTTTTTTTTTCAGGGAAATAGAAAGAAAGTTCTAATTCTACATTTGACTCATTACTTTCCTTGTTTTAATTTTCCTCCGCATTTTACTTTCTAACCAAACATGTAAAAAAATATAATCCAGAATTTTATTTTGCTTTTCCAGTTATTATTATTCCTATTTGGTACATTTAGATATGCAGTTTTTTATTTGGCAAATCCAATTTATTTTTCAATTATTTTAACTTAATATCTTTGAATTGACAAATTTATGTCAGATTGATAAATAATTTTTCTTTGGAGACGTTATACATTAATTTGGGATCATATCTGTTGTCAACATTGCGCTATTATTAATCAATCCTAATGATAAATTGTATAAAATTCACAAGATGTCATATAAAACTTGTATTTTTAAATAAAAGAAATTCATTTACATTGACATAATTTTTAAATTTTTTATTATTAAATTAAAATTAAAATTTATTTAAATTAAAATAATATTTTTTAAATTTAATAATTTTGACTCAATAATTCAAAAAATATAAGAATTAAATTTATATCAGATCGTTTCTTAATAAATAATAAATTCTTACATAACATTTTGGTATGATTGTATAATCATATAAATATAGTTAGAAAAATTTATAAATGAAGTATTATCTTATAATTGATATTTGTATTGTTAAGTGTATTTGATGATCAAAGGTTATAGTAATTTTTTTTATTAAGAACCCTTAGCAGACAATTAGGAATAATTTAAATATTTATGTTGACCTAATATGTTATGCATTTAATATTACGTCAACTTGATTATGCCGTTATTATCTCTTAATAATCTTTAATATCTTATTTATAAATACAAACATTTAAATATCACTAATGCAATTTTTATCTGCTTTTCATCATTTATATTACTCTTATTTTGATCTTACTTATATTAATTTATATATTAAAATGTAAAGGCAAAAAACATTTTTTATTTTTGCATCTAATCATTTTCTTCCTGTCTTCTACTAAAAAATACCTCCACGTAATAGTTCGGCATCTACAAGTATATTTAATAGTAGTGAACCGTAAGATCAAAGTTCAAAGGTAAGATAAAAAAACATACTTGCTTCACATTCACCTCTTGTCTGATTGTTGGTTTGCGAAGTTTCGTACACTAAAAAGTAAAATGCTTATTTATTTTTTTAAATTTATTACTGATTTTGTCTCTCATTTATCAAACAATTTTAGAGTAGATTTGGTCAGGAGTTAAATTATTTTTTCGACTAGTGAGCTTGACATGACTTTAGCTGAGTTTTGAATAAAGCTTTTTGAGATCGTTTTTATCTTTCTCTTTTTTTTATTGACAAGACATATTATTAGTTTTAAAATTGATTATTAATATTTTAAATTAGTTTTGAAATATTAAATATTTTAATATAAATTTTAAAATTTCAAACTTTTTGTAACTTAATGGACCGGATCAAAACTTTGGACAAAACCTTTAAACAACTGACCAGGTTTGGCACAAGCCGATTCAAGCATGGATAAGTTTCCACAAGCAAATTTTTTATTTTCGATTTTTTTTTTTTGGGTTTCCCATTTTTCTCTCCCATTAGAACATAAAAAAAGGATCTCAAAGATTCGTTAACCTTTAGACACAACAGTTACCGATGCACCCAACTAGTTGTCCTTTTCTCTCGTTTTTCTTTTCAATTGAAGCACTTTTTATGAACTATATCCTCTAAAATAAGCATTGCGTGTTTCCACGATCATTGGCAGAAGGGTCATGTAAAAAGACAAGGGCCAAATCATAAAATTGGACTCCAAAAGCATGGTGGGAAATAGAACATAACTTAAAGATGAAGGATCCATTTGTGATTTGTTATTTCACACACAAAACTTATACACTTAGCATGCATTTATTATATCCTTAAAATTCAAGAATTCACAAAGGAAGGCTACAACTATAAGGAAAATAAAAAGAAAATTTTGGTTGCATGTTATTGACAATCTAATATATAATATGATAAAATTCATATAAATATGATATAAAAATATGATTAAAAATTTTAATAATAATTATAAATAAATTTAATAAAATTTTAAAAATATATCATATTTTTTATATTGATATAAATTATTATATAAAATTTTTATATAAAATATAATATAAATATATAAATTTTAATATTTTATATAAAATAAATACATAAATAAAAAAACTAAATTGACACACATATGATAAAACAACACATTCCAAAGAGGGATAGCCTAAAAGCAATGACGTGTGTGCGTTTCGGCATGTTTCGTTATTCAATTTGTCTCAGTCGGCCGTGCTAAAGATTTTCTGCTGCAGCCCAACCCCCAAGCTGATCCGACGACAGGCTTAACTGAAATATCTGAATACAGATATGTAAATGTTACTGTCTAAGCTACCAAATTGTCATGTCCTTTTGCTTAAAGCATTGAATGGAGGAGCACTATTTGTAACGTGAACTAGGTCAATACGAAGATGTTTAAGGGCAAATGCGTAAACAACGGATGAGAAAAGTTGAAGTAACTTGGCTGCAAAGGATTGTGTCCCTGGATTGCCAAGTGGACAGCACAGCTGGGACAAACCTCTGATATGCAGCTGAACCATGGCCCCCACGTCGTGGCTAAGGGCGTTAAAAACTTGTGAATTTGGGATCTTTTGTTTAGCTGCCAATAAATAAACCTCAGGAAAAAGAAAAAAAAATCTCAAACTATCTTGAGAAAGTGAAGGAAAAACAATGTGGCCCTGTCACATTCTGCCCAAGTGCTCTTTGTATTTCAATCGGCCCCACTTACCTGGCCGCAACTCCTCCATGGACTGCACACTATGGCAGTGGCGTGTTCATCAGATTCCTCTTTAGGCGAGTGGGAGATTCAGCCCCTCTTTCTTTGCTTTTTCTCACTCTACAAATACAAATCTCCATTGGACCTCTCCTTCCATTTCCCCCTCTTCTTGTGCTTACTTGCTTTTTTTTCCTCTGATTTTTTTCGCTTTTTTGCTTTGGCGGGGCCCCAAGCTCTGCGAAAGCCAGCACAACCAGCAGGGTTCAACTGGCTTTATTATTAAATCTTAACCAAGCAGCAAACGCCCGTTACTCTACTCAGTACTCATCAAATCCCCTGGTTGCCAACCCTGATATTTTTCTTTGTTACTCCCCAGCTTTGTCTTTGCTTTGGCTATTTTCTTACTTTCTTTCTTATGGCGGAGGTTTTAGACGACGGTGAGTTTTGGCTTCCGCCTCAGTTTTTAACCGACGATGACTTGTTCATGGACAAGAGTAAAGCTAAGATCAATCCCAAAAGTCTCAAAGATGGCTTTGGGTTAGAGCTTGATGGTTCCAAGTCTTTGTTTCCCAACGAGTTTCCTTCCGGGTTGGAGTCTTTTGGGTTCACTTCGGATCTAAGTTCTCCGGTTGAGTCTGTGGTGGGTTCTCCTGAAACAGAGAGTGACGAAGAAGATTACCTTGCTGGGTTAACTCGTCAAATGGCTCACTCCACTCTCGAAGACGATTTTGGCCGAAACGACAGCTCATTTGCTTTTGAAAACTCCAAGGTCTTTTAAAGAACTAAACACAACTTCTCCATTAAGTTTTTAGTTTAAGGATTATTTCTTATTCTAATTTATTTGTTTTTTTTTTCGATTGTTAGGGATGGGCCTTGTCCATTTCGCCTCAATCGACCCTATGTGCGTTAAGGACCGGTTACGGTTGCAAGCAAGGGTCTAGCCGTGGAAGCCCAGACTGTCAATCTCGAGTTTGGTCACCGTCGGGAGCATGGGATCAGCTGCACGCGGCAGCAGGGGAAGTAGCAAGGATGCCGATGAATGAAGAATCATACGGTGGATTCAACAACAGAGGCCTCTTTGGTCCACCTGCGAGAAAACGCTCTCCAAACCTCGATGTTTCTGGTTTTTACTCTCCTCACCAGTCTCAGTGTCACCAGAAGTTACAGGCCACTCAAGTAAAAAACCTCTAAACAGAGCTAAAAAATCTTTCTTCTGATTGGTTTTTCCTCCGCAGGGTATTAATTTGGTTTTTCTTTGTTGCAGTTTCAGCAACTGAAACAACAGCAGCAAATGAAACAACAAAGCACATCGGTTTGGGGAGGACAGAAGCGGCAGCATCAGCACCCCAGCCACCCTGTGGTCCAAAACAGAGGGAGGAATAGTAGTAGTAACAGTAATGGGCCTTTGGGCTTGTCCCCATCTGCATGGCCCCCTCTGAAGCCGCAACAGCAGCAATCCCAGCCTCAAAACAGGTCGGGTATGCGAGCTGTTTACTTGGGCAATTCAACTGGTACAAGGGAGTGTGCTGGAACTGGTGTTTTCTTGCCCCGCCGTATCGGTAGCCCTTCTGAATCCCGCAAGAAGTCAGGTCCATACCTATTTTCCTATAGTTTGTTTTTTTATATGTATTGCTTTCTTCGATATTTCTAGATCTGATTTTCTTTTTAATCATTGTTATTTTGGCAGCTTGTTCTACTGTTTTGCTTCCAGCTAGAGTGGTTCAGGCCTTGAACTTGAATTTGGATGAGATTGCTTCTCAACCTCAGCTTCATCCTCGGTTTAATCCAAGTTTCACTGCTGATAATGGTAACAAATCTTTGGCAACATAATATTGGTTTTCCGATTTAAATTACTGTTATGGGGTGGTTTTTGACACTGATTTGTATTTGTAGATGCCGCTTTCAGGCTTCGAAATGGTGGGAATGTCTTTACAAGGCAGAAGCCGCGCAATTTCAGCCTTGAAGTGCGGCTACCTCAGGAGTGGACATATTGACTCAACTTTGCATCTGGTGATGGTGGTTGACTAATTCTGTTGGTTTCTTTTTGTTTCAAGTTTTAGGAAATGGAAAAGAATTATAAAGGATAGAAGAAAGGAAAAATGGAAGTTGTTTAGGTTGCTGTAGGGTAATAGTTAGCATAGAAGTATAGATTGAAGAAAGAAAATTATGGTGACTTAAAAATGAAAATGAAATGGTTTTTTTGGGGTTAGGTTTAGGTCAAAATAAAGAATTTCATGCTTGAGGAAAGAGTGATGGTTGCAGGAGGTTTTGCTCATGTGGTTGGACTGGGGCTTGGGGGAAATGTACAAGGGGTTACTCTTTTGTAATCTGGATTTCGGTCAATAAGCTTTGAATTTTGTTGAAAGTGAAATGTTAATGAAATGAATGGGGTTAGACAATATCCCCCATCTTTTGCAGAACATGACTGATGACTGATGACTGATGACTGATGACTATCTCTATTCTATCACATGGGTAATCTGATTATCTTTCTAAGCTTGAAGAAATTTCGCCTTCCAACTTGACCAAACCCCACTCAACTGCCGTGAAAGATAATAAAAGAGAATGCGTTTGTCATCAATTGACTTATTCTACCCTCGTTTTGTCTGTCACTTTCCTTGAGTTTTTTCTTTTATGGCTAATGACAGTTCTGCAACATAGTTAAAATTTCTAGATTTCAAGCTTCACGACTATATAATAAGAGGTCGAAGCACAATTGAAAATTTGCTTAGCAGCGTGCATTGTTTGAACATTGATTTAAGGTAAGGTAAGGGTGGGTAATACTTCGGATAATAATTAATTTGGATAGAATTAGATTTTGTTTATTTTTTACAATAATATATAATATAATGAATTTTTAAAACTCAATTTGAATTTAAATTAAATTTTTTTAAATCATCGAATTGAATTTTATTGATTGAATTTATTAATTTTTAAAATTTAATTTTTTAATTTTTATTTTAATAAAATTTTAAATATATTTAAATAAATTTATAGATAAAATAATTATTTTTATTTATAAAAATTAATAAAAATATAATTCAATTTAATTTTTAAAATTTTTATATTCAAAATTTAATATATATATATAATATTTAAATTTAATTAAATTAAATAAAAAAATCGCTCTGATTGAAATCGAATTTTATGATATGATTTTAAATTTTTTTTTCTATCCCTAATTTAAGATCTTTACATGGTACATTCCATGTTTAATTAAATAATTAATGGAATCTGGCGACCGTACTAATATGTCTTTGGAAGCTGGAATTTTATCTATTATTAGAAGGATCTTTTGCTTTCCCCAAGCTCAGGCAGCTGGATACATGATGGAGTGTTAGCAGTGTCTTGTCGTAGCGGTTGGCAGATGGAAGTGGACCAATGCGGTGTTTGCTTTTACAAGTGTCAAACATGAAGGATATCTTCTCTCTTTTATGATCTGTCCGTATCCTCTCTCCCGTGGACCTCGTCTAGCGCATTCACGCCCTCAAGCTGTAATAATTAAATACGTTGTTGCCTTCAAATCGTGGCAGTCGCACCCCATAGCCAGCATGCACCGGCTACTGGCAAATCTGCTCGACAACGTCCCCAGCCATGCACCGTCGTGGCTCAACCCACATGGTCATTGTCCGCACTACTTCTTCAGCTGCCGGTTCTTTCACTCGCGTATGTTGCGTCGGTACGTGTGTTGTTATGTCGGTTGATGTGTCCTGACTGGCAGTAGTGTTGTGGTGGGTTTTGGGGTTTTATCTTCGTCCAGAATATCCGCTACGCCCCTAAATTTTTTATGTTTCTTTGTCATATTTTTTTGTCATATTTTTTCTTTTATTTCATAATTTTTGGCGTTGATTATTGTTATATGGGATCGCACCAGATTTTGGATTGGCAAAAACCCATCAGAATATCTTTTCATTCTTGTTCTACTGATGTTTTCTTCGTATCAAAAAGCAACGACGACCCTTCATTCATGCCTTTATCAATAAATTATTATATAGGAAAAAATTATACTTTTTTTTAAGAAAAAAATTTGAGATAAATAAATTTTTAAAATTTTAATAATTTAAAATAAATAATTAAAAATCATATATTTAAAATAATTTCAATAAATATTTATTTATTAAATTTAAATTTATAATTTTTATATAAAAAATAATAATCTTTTACCAATTCAACTTACCACTTGATGATAAAAGATTTATAGCGAAACCTTTTCACCACTTGCATTTGGAGATGTATTAAATGTGTGGTTATGACTTATGAGCCAAAGGAGTGAGGACAAACATCGTTGTCCTAATGTCAGATTATATTAAAAGCTGGAATTGGGGTTTAGCAGTTAGCACTTGGACATCCTTCCTGTTAAACTTGATTGGAGAAGTGTCCCCAATGTTTTTTGAGGACATCCTTACACTTGGGTGCAAAGCAATTGGCTAAAGAAAAAATCTTACAAAATTTCCCTGGAAAATCATGTATTTGCAAGAGGGCGGATCCGAGCCAGGACCACTCCTTTTTGCAGACTCAACGGTTGCTCAACCAACCAACCAACCAACCAAATCCTGTTATTGGGAGATCCTCAAACAACATTATTAGCAGACCATGGACAACAAAAAACCTTAATGGGAAATAATTGCAGTATGGTGATTTTTTATGGATATAGGCCCACTTTGTTGGGTTTCATTGTAGCCCATATTTTAGACAAATTTAACCCCAAAGCCCCAAATACAAATTCACAACCTGATCCCATTCATATTAAAAACGAATCGTTTTAGGCCTGAATATTGGTGAGATTAAAATAGCCGCCCTATGCTGGCTGCAGGCTGCTGTCTAGTAATAGTAAGGGATGACAATGAGTCAGGGTGAGTCTTTGTTTATTTTGAATTTGTCTCGATTTTATATTTATTAAATTTATATTTGTATTTGATTTAATATTTTTTTATTTATATTTTTATTCGATTTAATTTAATTTAAAATTACTAAAATATTATTTTTTAAAATATAAAATATTTAAATATATAATTATATATATAAATAAAAAATTAAATAAATTTTTAAAAATTATTTTTATATAATACGGAATCAAATTGAATTTATCTAAAATCAAAACCGATCTCAATTTCTCTCTAATTTTATTTGACCTGCCTTGAAATTCGATTTAAAAAAAAATTCTGATCCTATAAAATCAAGTTGGGTCGGAACCGTCAGAGACGGGTAGGGTTACCCACCCTAGTAACAGGGCGCCAAATCCACGGCCGCAGATCAGCAGGCTATAAAATTTCAGCGACATCAACGGCTGCGGTTGGTCATGATCTGTTACTTTAAATAAGTCAAAGATCAAAATATAGCAGCCGAATTTTGTTGTGCGATTCACCCGGACGCTTACGACATTTGGTCAATCGCTCTTCAACATTGAAAATTTCAGGTAATTATTAATTTTTTGTTAATTAGATGTATCAAAGCTCAATTGAGCTTAATTTTAGTTCAACAAACTGCGACTGTTGTCAATTCTTGGTCAACTCTCTAGTTAACGATGGCGGTGGAGGAACATGCTGAGCAGAACTATTTGCCGAAGAAGAAGAAATCGGAATCTGATGATGACAAGAGGTAACTTTGTTTCTCTTTCCCCTAATATTTTAGAGGCAAAAGGGTCAAAAGGTTCCTGAACTAAAATTTAACAATCATCCATGCTCTTATATTTTTTTCAATCAATTAAATTCTCAGACATTTATTTTTATCAATTGAGCCATTGCTACAGGAAAAATAGTTAATTGTTTCCGTCTAATTGAGAGCTTAGTTGAGCGAAAATAGATGTATAAAGGTTCAATTGGGTGTACATAGATATTTAAGGATTTAACTTATTCTTAATAGAAGATGCAGAGCTTAATTGATTGCAATAAAATATTGGGATTTAACTGATTATTGAATTTGTATTGAAGGGCTTTTTAAATCCTTATGCCTATTTTAAAGTTTTGAGAGAAAAATACGACTTTGATTTTGGGTTTTGGAATTAATAGGAGAAAGAAAATTGTTCCTGGAAGCTTAATGAAGGCTTTGATGAGACCTGGAGGTGGTGAATCATACCCTTCAGATGGTGATCAGGTTATTATTCTTCTCTTATTTCATCTTTCTTTTGTTATAACTGTTCATAATCGGATAGGCAAATGTGGGATTTTTTTTTATTTTGAAAAAGACAAATGGGTGTTTCAAAAGCAATGCAGAGGGTTGAGTTGTGAATTTGTAGTTATAATTTTTTTTTTTTAATGTTTTGTAGGTTATATACCATTGCACAGTTAGGACGTTGGATGGAGTTGTTGTTGAGTCTACAAGATTAGAAAATGGAGGTGAATATACTGCAAGCATTTTATTAGATTTAACTTTGATTGATATGTTGAGTTGAGCTGACAATTTTGTATGCTTCGCCTTCTAAGTATGTGCATGGTTGAATTGTCTAATGGTATATGCATTTTTTGTATTGAATTGACAATCTTTTATGTGACAGGGAAAGGTATTCCGATAAGACATGTATTGGGCAAGAGCAAAATGATATTAGGGTTGTTGGAAGGAATTTCAACAATGTTGAAGGGTGAAGTGGCAATGGTATTGTCGTTATAGTTTTCTGAACCATATTTGTCTTTGTTGGTCCAAAATACTTAAAGAAAAGTAAAAGAAGGAACTATGGAGTTGGAATTGCTTTCTATTTCTTAAACTATCTGGTGACATCTCTTGTTTCAGTTTAAAATGAAACCTGAAATGCATTATGCCGAGGAGGACTGTCCTGTTCCAGTTCCAAGTAGTTTCCCAAAAGAAGATGAACTCCATTTTGATATTGAGTTGATAGATTTCTCCAAAGCCAAGGTAAGAGTGCTGCAAATCTGATATTTATCTTTTTGTTATAACATTTTCTCATAAACCAATTTTGATTCCTTTATACAAGGTGTATTCAGTGTTCTCATACATGCTTTCTTAGCAATGTCTATAGTGTTCATCAGAATTCTTTCTGATGTTTGAGGTGCTGACGATATCAAGCTGTCATTGATTAATTTGTATACGGCTCTTTTATTTCTAATGTCATGTTATTTTATGCCCATTTTCAGGTTGTTTGTGATGATTTGGGAGTTTTGAAGAAGGTACAGTGCCATACTACTGCTTAAATTTGGCTGGAGTTTGGTGGTAGTTTGGAATTTGGAAGTAGTATGTAAGGAGGATTGGGAAATTCACACCTTATTGTGAATATGCAGACTAATTTTTAATACTTCCTGTACATGAATCATTATCATCATACTTCTTTTTGTTTGCTCTACTATGTTGCTGCATGGACTTTTATTCTCTCTTCCATACTTGCACCAAATTCGTTTTAGTTTGAGAGATATTTGTAATTAATACTTATATAATATTGGTAGGTAATAGATGAAGGCCAGGGTTGGGAATCACCTAGGGAAGCATATGAAGTTAAAGCTTGGTAAACTTATTCTCAATCCTTTGCGCTATTCTTGTTTTGTGCGTTGCACTAAATTTCCAGAATGTTATTGATCATTGGACAGATGTATCATATGTGAATCTTTCAGGATTTCTGCTAAGACAGGTGATGGGAAGTTTATTCTGTCACACACGGAAGGAGAACCATATTTCTTTACTTTTGGGAAATCTGAGGTAGGTGATTTGTATTATTTACAGTGTTTTGTTTTTAATTAATCATCATGGTTTTCTTTATTTAATAATGTGCTTGATCTACCCTACTTCATGTTCTCATGCTTAAGCTCCTTTTGATATGGATTCTGTACTTGATCTCATTAAATTTAGGTACCTAAAGGTCTTGAGATGGGAATAGGAACAATGGCACGGAAAGAGAAGGCAGTAATTTATGTTACAAATCAATACTTAAACCCATCTCCCCTCTTGCCTGTGATAGAAGGTTATGAAGAAGTTCATTTTGAAGTGGAGCTCGTCCATTTCATCCAGGTAAGTCATTGCTTTCATATTGCTCAGAAATGTTTTATCATTGGGTAACCAAATTGGTGGATGTAATTGAACTCTCGAATGTTGGACTGGCAGGTGAGGGACATGCTGGGGGATGGGCGCCTAATTAAACGACGATTACAGGATGGAAAAGGTGCTCTTTTTATTTGATTAAGCGTTGCCACATAGAAATATCTTTGTTTGATTCTCTGCTGTTTTTCCTTCCTTATGCCATGTGAAAATGATAAAATGAAAAATCTACTGTCAACATATTATCAATTCTTGCTCTCTGCAGTACTGTCATTTTATTTATTCATTCATGTGAAAGTTTTATTTTGGAATATACATTTAACAGTTTTTACACTCATTCTTCTTTGATGGGAAGATTCCTAGGATGATGCTTCAAAAGTTTGATTGTTGCCATCTGTGCATTTATGTGCTAGTTACGGCTTCCTTTAATTGTGTCTTTTGTCAAATGAGTAAGATCCTGTTTGTGTGGCTTCATGGATGATGATTTCTTTGTTGTTTGGATAACCAGGGGAGTTTCCCATGGATTGCCCACTTCATGACAGTCTTTTAAAAGTCCATTACAAGGGCATGCTTCTTAACAAAGAAAAGACAGTCTTCTATGAGACAAGAGTTGAAAACCAGGGTGAACCTTTGGAGTTCAGTTCTGGAGAAGGGATGGTGAGTTCATGCTAGTAAAGTTGAAAACATATCTTGAAAGGTTTTTTCAATCTGTAGTTTGTACTGCTTGAAATCAAAGTGATATATCATCCCAATCACCTACAAATTGTTTATGATCGAAATTATCATGCTAAGACTTTGATTTTGCCTTAATCTTAGTAAGCTTTTATTTTGCCTTTCAGGTGCCCGAGGGATTTGAAATGTGTGTCCGTTTGATGCTCCCTGGAGAGATTGCTCTTGTCACATGTCCTCCTGACTATGCATATGACAAATTTTCAAGGTTGCTCTTTTGTTATATATAAATATTTTATTTTATGATCCTTTTTTGTGCTTGACCTGAGTGCCTCTCTTCCTATTTGATTAGGCCACCTAATGTTCCTGAAGGTGCTCATGTTCAATGGGAAATTGAGCTTCTTGGTTTTGAGATGCCAAAGGTATTGAAGTCATCTATTAGGAACTTTTCTGCCATATGGTTGTTAAATTGTTGGTATGCAGCAAGATATTGTTCTGAAAATAGTGCATCATGTTTTCTTTTACCTGTCTAATGCCTAACTTATGTCTTTATTACAGGATTGGACTGGTTTGAACTTTCAGAGCATAATGGATGAAGCAGAAAAAATTAGAGTCACGGTATGTGGCTTATTATATGTTGCATTCTTCCTCAATGAGCCATTTTTCCATTTATTCGATGTCTGGTGATAGACTTTACAGCTCCATCTCCATATGTATGCTCACAATTGTTGCAGTGATCCAAATTAATTTTTTTATCCTTCAGTTTTTGTGCTGTAAGACTATTGATATGAATATTTAACTATCGTGCTATCATTTGTCTGCAGGGTAACAGACTCTTCAAAGAGGGAAAATTTGAACTTGCCAAGGCAAAGTATGAAAAGGTAGTGTAGTTACTGTTTTTCCTGGATCTTAGATCACCTTTGGAACAGGACTATTTGTTCTATCTTTTGGTTGATGTATTAAGCATTGACCAAAGACCCATGCAATAGTAACAATTAAAACAAATTGGCCTATCATGTGAAAAACAAATATGGTAATAAACGATAAAAAACATATTACAGATGGAGTAATAAATAACCCGGGTTTGGATACCAAGCTAAACATCCAATCCAAAATGAATTGGTAATTGATCAAGGTACAAGCTTTAATTGGCAGATGTTCATGTGAAACCAGTGACAATATTTCTACTATGGTACATTTATGTGCATATGTAATTCAATTCCATGTGTTGCTTTTCGTATAGGTGCTTCGGGAATTCAATCATGTCAATCCACAAACTGATGAGGAAGGGAAAGTGTTTATAGAAGCAAGAGTAAGTGTCTTCCTGCCTTATGGTAACTGAAAGAATTTATTCTATTCTGTGATTTGTCAGTTGTTACATGATCCCTGATAGCATGTTTCCAGAGTTTGTTAATTTCCTTTTCTGTTTTATTGCTTAAAGAACTCGTTACATCTGAATGTGGCCGCGTGCTTCCTCAAAATGGGAGAATGCAGGAAGTCCATTGAAGCATGTAATAAGGTGTGTTATAACCTCAAACAGGAACTCTTTCTCCCTCTCTCTATCTATCTATCTATCTACCTATTAGGAAGAATTGATATTTTGTGATTTTATTGGTGTCCATGTGGGAAGAAGTACATCATTATGATCATATATAACCAAAGGTAAAATTACTTTTTTTTTCTTAAGTAGTCAAAGGATTTTCAAAACGATCAGACTGTTTCCAAAATAAGTTGATTGGTTTCTGAATTTTCTTAAGGATGACTTGAGTACATCAAGTTTTGAGGTTTAAAGTTGAACCCAGGGAAGAAATAAAGAAACAAACAACCAAAAAAGCACATCTCAAAATTATACCTCGCTCTGAGCTGCCTTCTTTTGACTTGTTTACTTATCTAAATAGTTGATCGTCTGAGGATATCCATCAAATTTGGATCTTGATATATTTGGGTGGAACTATGTAGGTTTTAGATGCAACTCCTGTACATGTGAAGGCTCTATACCGTCGTGGAATGGCTTACATGGCCGCTGGAGATTTTGAGGAAGCAAGAAGCAATTTCCAAATGGTAGTTATAATGTAATTCTTTAAGTTTAGTGGGTCTAAAACTGGATTCTTGGCTACTCTAATCCTGTTTCTGGATATGATCAGATGATCAAAATTGATAAATCCTCAGAACCAGACGCAACAGCTGCTCTAGCAAAACTGAAGAAGCAAGAGCAGGTATGTTAATCAGCAGTATTTTCTTTGCCATTCAACACATGGTAGAAATATGGGAATATCATTCTGTATCTCTACCAATTTATGAGCAGGAAGTAGAGAGTAAGGCTCGGAAACAATTTAAAGGACTATTTGACAAGAAGCCTGGAGAAATTGCAGAAGCTCAAGTTGTAGATAGAGCTGGAGATGAGATAACCGGAGAAAACCAAAAGAATAGTGAGGAGTCGTCGTCAGAAGGGGATGAACCTCAAGATTTTCACGAAGCTGCTGCTGGTGAGCCTCGAATAGGCTGGTTTTACAACTTGTGGCCTACTGGTAGAAGACTATTTTCAGCTCTTGGGCTTCAAAGATGTACCATACTCTGATATTCTAAGGTCAGACCCTAAACTTGTTAGCATTTGGCTGCAGAGCTGCTTAAATTAGTTTCTCGGGAAAAGAATAAAATTTTTTTTTATAGTATACTACTGAATAGTGATAAATAATAGAAAAGCAAAAGGTTTCTTCCTGTCTCTTCTCATAGTTTTTTTGGATAAATTATTTCTTCATTCGTCGCATTGAGGCTGCTGGTTCTTACTTCTTGGCCAGTGTCAATCACATTTTGTATCTTCATTTAGACCTTTGGTTCCTCAATTTAGAAAAAATAACTACAAAATTCATCAGATCCGTACCCATAAATATATAATAAAGAACCCTGCCAAGTGAACCAACATCAGATAAACTTGACAGTACAGCAAGGAGGAGGATTGATTATATGTTTGGCAAATGAGCAATTTGATTATATGTTTTTGATACAAAAGAGAGTTACAACTCGAATTTAGAATCTCTAACTAAAGCTCTTTATCATGGATCAAACGGATTAAGTTCAGGCAAATGACCAGTACTGTAATTATCAAATTTTAGAAGGGATGCTGTTCGGGGTGTGTACTGCTGCTCGGTTTCCTTGGCCAGAGCACCAAACTTGACGAGGAAGAACCCGATAGCATGACCAGCAAGGGCAGCTTTGAAGATTCCAAGATTGTAGGACATGAAAGAGAGTATAGCGATGTAAGCAAAGCACATTCGGACAGTGTAAACACTGGCCTGAGTGCAAGCTCACTGCCGGTAACATAGACAGAACCTCAATAACGGCGCCTAGCAACAGCACTCATAAGAGTGCCAATACATGCAAGCCGCAGTTGCTTTCAGGCCACCCAGAGAACAGAACTGTCACATCTTTACCCCAATTGAAGCTCGTGTGCATATCCATGATGTCATGCTACCATTTGAGATTGATCCTGAATTAGGCATAGGCATATATCCATGCCACCATCAGACTTTTTCTGAGAGAACTAGGGAGGAAAACTCGATAAATTTGGAGAAGTGCCGAGGGTAAATTTTCTTGGGACTGTATGTTTTAAACACTCGACCACTTGATACCCTTAAAGTCTTAAAACTGATTATTTTGTTTCCCTTTTTTTAACTTTCTCAATTTTTGTTTGTTTTTGGCAATTTTTTTTAAATTTGACATTTTATATAATCGTGTCATGTAAAATATTATATTCGTATCGTATTTTATATGAAAATTATATATTATAATTCGTGTTGATACGAAAATATAAAATATAATTTTTTAATTTTATTAAATCGATTTATAATTTTTTAAAAAATTTAAATTATATTATTTATATATTAATTATTTAAATTTATTTTTATATTATATTATTATATCGTTTTTCAAATTATCATACCTAAATTTTTCTCAGAAAAAAAATATTTAATGGACATTGAAGGAAGAGTCACTGGACCAGTTAAAGTACATAGTCTATCATCATAAGCTTGATCTCTCCATTAGATTGGACTGGGGTGAAGTTTAACCAAACCCTCTTTTTTTTGGGTAAAGACCCAAACCCTATGCCTATGGCTAAGAATTTTACTGAGATGGATCATGGTATCTTCTTGGAAAATGTAGAGAAATACAAATGCTTCGGCCAATTCTAGACACCTGACAGGAGCTCAATTCATACTTCATGGGCCTAAGCAAAAGGGTGCCAAAAACGGCTAATTAATCCGTCAATCTACGATATTTTTAATTCAATCTTTTTTTAATGTTCATTTTTGAATAAGATATGAAATATGGTTGCAAATAACAGTAAGAGATCTGTGCTATCGCATCAAATTTCATTTCATTCCATGTTCATTTGTTTGTTTTTCTCTTTAGTGTAAGCCACTTAGTTGGCCTCCGCATTAGATTCGGAAAGATAGAGGATGTCCAAATAAGTTATGGACTTAAACAGAGGGACCCAAATACATGCTGAAACCACTTCCATGCCAATATAATGTGCAGCTCAAACAGCATAAAAAATAGCCTCGATTCGCTGTTGTCATTGGGCCGACTATGGCAATGTCGGAAGAGATACGCCAATGAACACTCCAAAGAGGCAAAGAGGGAGACCAGACGCAGAATGATCATGTCATACAGGATGAGGGTGTTGGGATTTATTAATAGGCAAAGTGAAGGGTATCCAATATTAATAGTCATGCATTACATAAGGTTTATTATAGAGGCATTAAGGGATTCCAATCAGAAATTGTGTGCACAACTCCTGTAATTTCAAATGGAACCCTTTATTTATCGATTACGTGTGCGCAAAATTCCCAGCAAATTCAAGCTTAATGCAAAGAATTTGGTGGAGGCGGTAGAAATTTCACAAAATTTAATTAGAATACTATTCGTACTTGCCAATTCTGAAAAACTGGTTATCCCTTGGATGATAACTTGGCAACTTTCAGTGGCATTAACAGCGTTGTTTAGATCTTCAACCATGGCATCGATTGTGTTGGAGTCGAAGTTCTTTTTAGCCGACGAAAGGCCCGTGATCGTCTTGTTGTTAAGAAGCTGGCAGACCACCTTGGAATCATCGACAGAGCAAGTAGAACTTTCCTGCAGGCTAGCTATGAGGCTTCGGGCGTCGTCTGCATTGCTCTGTGCAGAACTCAAAGCTGTAGTAGCGATCTCGCCCACGGATGGCCACACAGTTAATCGTGGGTCTGGAGTTAAAAGTATCGACACAAAACTGACGGTCGGACGTGTAGCTGCAAATCCCATTCACAAGGTCCATTCCAGACTCAGGCTTTCCATTTGAGGGAAGGACGATGATCATGAAGATGATCAGTAGCAACAAAGGACACAAAATCTGGCAAAATCGGGCCATCTCTTGGAGATGTTTTTATGTTGCTTGGGTCATGCTAAGCCATGAAAACATGTTGGTGACACAAAATTTACGTAGGAAATGTAAATTCACTCAATAAATATGACCACTTTCCCATATTCATAATTTTCGGAAATCAACCTCGTCACAACAACTTCAACTTGTTTAATAGTCTAATTGTTCTAACTGCTTCGGGAATAAATGGCTTGCAAGTTTTCATGATCCTATTATCCTAAGAGAGGGGAGATTATCATCTTAATTATAACTAATATGCTACCTGTGCTTTATGTTGGATTAATTTTTTGATAATTTCAGAGCATTAAGAACTATATTACTATCACATAATACATTCATTGATTTATACAAGGGTAAACAAATAAGCAAGCGACAAATATATTATGTAATTAAACATATTATCATGAATCCTAAAGCGTAAGTATAATTAAGTACATTAAAAGATTTTTTTTGTGCAGATTTATTAAAAAGGTAATAATCAAAGGCATATATGAATACTCATTTTTTATAAAGAATTTCACGAATTTTAGTTATGAAACTTTATCTAAGTCTCTTTTACTCAAGAAAGGATTTTGGATTTATGCCCCTAGTAGAAACTCATGTGCATTAGTGACTTCCGATGCATGTGGAGCCCTATTGTGTTCCAAGCCGATGTCGTTTCTACCATGTTCACCATCTTCATATATTTTCTTTTCCTCTGTTTTATCTGGATTTGCAATAAAGAAGAGAAGCTGGCAGGGTTTTAAAGAGGAATAGAAAAAATTATATTCATTTTCTTTTTTTTTTTCTCATTTTTAATTTGGGTTTTGTGAGTATGCATTTGTTCACGCTCATTTCCAGGGAAGGTGGCTTACTCTTCCATTGTTATAATTTCAAGGTTTCGAAATTAAAAGTTGAAACACTTTTCAAGATCAGATAGAATACTAAAATAAGAGCAATATATATTGGTAATTTTACAACTAAAGCACTTATTGGGTCAGGTTTCTTTGTTTATATGACCGTGAAGATTTTATAGTTGCCCTTCAGGTTTCAATTTCTCATTCCCTCATGAAATTCTTAAGCAGAGGCAAAACCTCTCACTTGCCATGGATCTGAATGGTTCTTTTGGGGTGGTGTTTGGCCTCTTCCTTAGGAACTGTCACCGTGAGCACCCCGTTCTCCAAATATGCTGTCAGCTGATAAACCTTTGCATTCTCAGGCAACCTGAAACGCCTCACAAACACGCCACTGCTACGCTCCACGCGATGCCACGTCTCGCTCTTCACTTCTTTCTCCATGTTTTTCTCGGCCCTGATGCAGAGGACTCTTCCGTCCTCTACTTCTACCTTCACTTCGTTCTTCTTCAGCCCTGGAAGATCCGCTTTGAACACATGAGCTTCTGGGGTTTCCTTCCAGTCTAGGTTCGCAAGCTCAAACGGTGATTGGGTGGAGAAAACAGGACGAGGCGCAACGAGAGTGCCCCCATAGTGAAATTCTTGGAATGGATCCCAAATTTGCTGGTAGAGAGGCTCGTGAACGCTGCGGATACCGAAATAGCTACCCGGAACCATCGACATCTTTGTAAAACAACTAGTTGATGCTATACTTGCAATGAGAGGCTAAGATGGAGAAGTAATTTATAAGATAAAAATGGGATTCTGAATGTAAGAAAATCAAAATCAATGTTGTATAGTGGAGCAATATTAATTTCTTTTGTGTCGTTTATCAAATGATATTTCGAGAGAGGAATCCTCTTTACGAAAAAAAGAAATGCTGCATTGCCAGATAGCATTCAACCATGAAAGGATATAAACGAATATGGCATCCGAATAAATGTTGCACCTCAACCATGAATAGAACTTGTGTTCAAGCGAGACTAATCTTTTTCAGAATAAAATAAATTGCTAACTGTCCCCGAGTGTAAGACTGATGCAAGAACAATATGGACGCCATGCCGTGGTATCAGCATAACTTTGGGACCGACTTAGCCCATAGTAAATTGGGTTTGAAACACAAAGAGAAGATCAATGGACCATGGAGGAATGTAAAGTTTCTATCATGGTCCAAGATGTCTAGAAGTTGTAAGCCCATGGGTGGTGGCACATAAATTAAATCTTTGCTTGGCCCCGACCATGATCCAGAAACCTTCGCTTTCTGTGTAGTAAAAGCCGTTCCCACGCTGCCACCGAATGTGGAAGATTGTAGATGGAAGTTGATGGAAGACTATAGAGGAAACATGAAGGATCGAGCCATCTACCGATATCAATCAATCAATCATACATGTTTCAAGACATATGAATGAAAATAGAATAGCCCCGAAACTTCAAGATCCTACAAGCTAAACTCTATATATAACATCCACGGTTGTCTCTCTTCAATCAGTGAAGAAATCGCCTTAAGAGTTGTTCCCTAAAGCACCATCAATAAAGCTACTTATTTCATCACTACTTCAGAAAAAGGAAAATGTCCCTGATTCCATCTATTTTTGGCAACAGGAGTGTCTTCGAGCCATTCTCTTCAGATATCTGGGCACCTTTGAGCTCCAACAATGAGATATCATCATTTGCCAATGCCCAAATTGATTGGAAAGAGACCCCAGAGGCTCATGTAATCAAGGCTGATCTTCCTGGGCTCAAGAAAGAAGAAGTGAAAGTGGAAATTGAGGAAGGAAGAGTTCATCAGTTAAGTGGAGAAAGAAATGTAGAGAAAGAGGACAAGAATGACAAGTGGCACCGTATTGAGAGGGGACGTGGAAAGTTCCTTAGAAGATTCAGGTTACCAGAAAATGCTAAGGTTGATGAAGTGAAAGCAGCAATGGAGAATGGCGTCCTGACTGTCACAGTACCAAAGCTGGAAGAGAAGAAACCAGATGTCAAGTCCATTGAGATCAGCAGCTAGATTTTTAAGCTGCACCCATTGTCGTGTCGTAATGCTTGGTTGATTTGGTTGTGACTTTGGTTCCATTTCTGTTTTTGGGTGTGAAAAAGAGTATGTGAGAAGAATAAATACTAATGGAGTAATTGTGTCCCCTGTTTATAGTGTATGGTACGTTCTACGTTGTGAATCCTTTGTTTATTGCATGCAAGCACACATGTCTCAAAAATTGGTGTGATTTCAGTAAACTCATATGACACCAATTGATGACCTAATATTAAACTTGCCATTGTTCTCGACAATGGAAAGATCAACTCTCAGGATTAGCATCATTTTCAGGACTGAAATCGAAAACCTCTGACTATATGCTTTTCAGCTTTTTAACGGGCCAAAGGAATCATATAGATCGTATATGTATGATCAACTTTTCCAGGTTGGAAAACGAAGATCCACTCTCCGCGATACTATATATCTTGAGCCTGCATGGTAATCTTTTCCATTAATTTCATTATTTATTGTCTCTTATTCTTACAGATCCCTCACCATTTTGTCTACAATTGATATTTCACATGTATCTTTCGTATCGAAACCGATCATCCAAATTTCGCCTACACATCTGCCGTTGATTTAGGGTCTGTTATTGCAGGCCAAAAATCATGTGAACTCCTGCATAAAAACGGTCCAAAGTTGAGTTCCATCCACCACAGGTCAAGAACCCTCCAGCAGCTTGGTTGGCTGAGACCTCTTGACGGCCCAGTTCACAATCATATCTAACTATTTAGGAAACATGAATCTCTCTCGCTTTTTTTATACAGTAAACATGCATCTCAATTATAGAAATCTCTAACAAAAACAATTATTATCATAGAAAATTAAAAGGACAAGAAGAATAAAATATTTTCGCCATCTTTTTTTCCTTTATTTGTGGGGCTGAGCTTGCCTTTGCCTTGTGAAAAATAATGGGAAATTAGAGTGGTTAACCGCAGCATGCCTTTGTTGAAATTTTCCGTCATTTTATTTTTTTCTGAAAATAAGTTACGTTGTGGCCTCCATATTTAAAACCTGATCTAATAATATAATATAAAAATAATATAAATAAATGATACAAAAATAATATGATTTAAAGTTTTATATAATTTAAAATTAAAAAAATCATAAATAAAGTAAATAAAATAAATATTTTATATTTTATATTTTTACATCAATATAAATTATAATATATAATTTTTATAAAATATAATATAAATATAATATTTTATATAATACAATAACATAAATTATCACATCTAATCTATACCATTTATCGAAGTCCTTTTCTTCTATCAGCAATTAAAAAAAAAAAAAAAAACCTAAATGATGAAGTGGAAGGGTGGCTCGTGGGCCCAGTCCATCTGGATTCTCCCTCCTAGAAGTCTTCAAAGTCACAAGTAGCGGGCCCATATTTCCAGCCGAATCCCCCGCCTCTTTGCTTGCCAACTCCTCACTCCGTCTTCATTTTGTTTGCGTTCTTTTCTCTGTCACATGATCGTTTCTTTCTTGTCTGTTTGGCTGAGAAAACAAAAATGAATCTTTGAAGAAGAGGGAAAATTTTTGTTAACAGAATCATTTGTTCTTGTGCTCAATTGGCGGTAATTTTTTTTTTTTTGCTTTGCTTAAAATCTACGTTGAGTTCAGTTTGTTTGTTTTTTTGTTGTTTTACGTTTGTCAGTTTTTCCTGTTAGTTTATTAATGCTCTGTTTGGTTACCGAGAAACAAGAAGGAAATAAAGAATAGTAAAGAAATAGTTTTCTCTACATTTCTTTCTCCACTTGTAATAGTAAAAGAAATAATGCTTGCTTCTAGCTGTTAACTTCATTATAAGAGTGGAAAAATGAGAACTGTATTGCTTGTTTTATCTTGCATTTTCCATGATTTTCTCAACAGTGAAACAAAGCCTTGATTCATTGATTCTTGAATTCTATGTGGATCTATGAGATTGTGTTTGATTTCTGGAGATCGGACCTAGAGATTGACTTTCGTTTAAATGGCAACAGAAATTAGGACTTTGGGACCTTTTTTAATGGTAAATAACTATGGTTACTAATGAGATTAGTATTAAAAAAAGGCAAATCGAATGATTTGTTGGGGAATCACCTAAGTCATTTCTATTGATCCGTTGTTGTGCTGAGCTTCCTTATATTCCAATTACTGAAGCAGTAATAATCTTTTCTAATGTTACTTTTGCAATCTTTGAATGAAATTCTGTTTTCTGTCTTAGTTCCTTTGATTTTGCATTTATTTGTTTTGCCAGATGGAAATGGACCCTGCCTTATACTTTTTTTCTGTCTTAGTGCCTCAAGTTTACCCAAGGTTAAAGAATCAAGGCAAGGTAAAAGTAAAGAACGGTATTGCTTTGCCATATGGTAATCTGCCAGGTGTACCAGGAAAAAGATCAAATTCACAGCATCTTGGTCCAAACAAATTTCTTAGGGGACTGCTAGGGTCAGCCTCTCAAGGGAAAGCCAACAAAAAGAGGATGAGCTTGTCAGGTGCAGGTCAAACTTGCTGGGTTACCTACAGTGTGTAGACAGTGGAGAAAACCTTCAAGAGAAGGCATTGAATGTTGGAGTTCTGGATTGGGCACGTTTAGAAAAATGGAAGTACCACTGAAAGTGTATCCTGGCAATAACAGGCAATGATGTATCATCCACAAGCACAATGTCATCATTGAAAACAAATACAAAGTCATCCACCCTTTCTAGTGCAGTTCCCAGGGATGCTCCTGCCAATAAAAGCAAGCGACATTCTTCAACTTGCTCTAGTCTTAGCTCATCCCACAAGGATGAGCTTCCTCGAGGTGCAAAACCATCTACTCAGAAGGTTAGACACACTCAAGATATTGAAACTACTTACAAGAGCGCCTCGGGTCAGCTAAAGAAATCCAGGAACTATAAATCTTTTGGCCAAACTTATTCAGATGTAATTCTTGAGAAGGGGAAGAACAAAGACTTAGATCAGAGAATCACTTCAGAAATGGGAAATATGTCATCAAACATGAGTAACCATGGGGTCTCTCCTCTGCTAAAGGAAACTGCACGTGTTTGTGATGGTGGAGCAAAAAACAGAGTAGCGCAAAGGCGGGAAATTGATGTAAATAAAAAGGATTTGGATCAGAAGCATACTTCAGATGGGGAGGCTTCTTTATCCAAATCAAGACTTTATGCCGTTTCACTGGGTTCTAGGAAAATGTTGAGTGCTCAGAGTGACAAAACTAAGAAGAAAGAGACCCAGGAATCAGAGCTTGATCTTACTCCTCGATGTTTTCCTGGTCAGCGAAAGAATATTAATCTTCTTATTCCAAGGTCTGCCCGAAATAGCTTTTATGAAGAACCCCAAGAATTATTGGATGGGACTTTGAATGAAACAAATAGGAATAGATTTTCCTATGACTTCCTTCAGAAGGTTCGCTTCGGAGAATTATGTTCTGAAGTTCCTCATTCTTGTCCGTTTCCTCCTGGAGTTGAGATGAATCCTGAAAATGGCATGATGGCACAGGGTCTGGAGGCTTCATTTGATGCATTTCATGGGTCTGCATGCCCAAAGAAGACAGGAAATATGAGATCTCAGGGCGATTGTTCAGCAGGTAACAATATTAAATCTCAGGATGCTGATTTTGAAACTTTAAGGACACTGGAAGAAGAAATGGCTGAACTGACAACCAGAAAAAGCAGAACTACTTCTCCAAATCGTGGTTTTAGTTTCAGCTTAAATCGTATGACTAGAAGTTTCAGTTTTAAGGAAGGTTCTGCTGTCTCGCAAGTGAGCTCCACTTATGTTTCTGTCAGATCTGGTCCAGTGAGATCTGATTCTCCAGTTTTTTCGGATGATGCAAAGAGAGAGAAGGTGAATGGCCATAATAGGACTAGGTCCAGCCCCTTAAGAAGGATGCTAGACCCATTACTGAAGTCCAAGGGCTTAAATTCCTTTCGTTTCACTGACACTGTTCAGCCACCAAAAGGAAGCTTGAATTCCTCTAGTGCACAGCCAGTTAATACTAATGAATTCCTTGAGGAAGGAAAGTTTGAGTCATCAATAATTCATGCTCTTCTAGAGGTTAGAATAAAGAATGGACTCCCACTATTCAGATTTGTTGTTGACAATGGCCGTAAAATGCTTGCAACTACCATGAACAGCCTAGCATCATCTGCCAAGGGGGGATCTGATCAGAATTACATATTCTCTTCTGTTTGTGAAACTAAGAAGAAGTGTGGCAGCTGGATAAGTCAAGGAAACAAGGAAAAAAATTGTGGCTACATCCATAATATTATTGGACAAATGAAGATTTCCAACTCTCATATATCAGACTTGACTGCACAGGGCTATTGTAATGAGTATCGGGAAAGAGAGTCTGTTCTGTTTGGTGTGGGGCAAAGACAAGCAGATCAACCATCAGCAAAGTTTACACCAAATACAGAGCTTGCTGCTGTTGTCATCAAAATGCCTGGTGAAAGCAATGATGTACAGCAGGGTGATAAAGACATAATGAAGAAGGGCTTTATAGAATGTTTGGCTACAGGTGGATGCAATTGCAACTCTATGGAAAATGCAAGCTTCAATAGTACTACTGTCATTGTTCCCCTTGGTGTCCACAGCTTGCCAAACAGAGGAATACCTTCCCCATTGATTGACCGATGGAAATCTGGTGGATTATGTGACTGTGGAGGTTGGGATGTTGGTTGTAAAATACGTATTCTCTCCAACCAGAATAGCAGATGCTGTAACATTTCAAGGACATGTCAAGCATGCCTGAATGCCAACCGTCTTGAACTCTATGCCCAGGTATCCTCTTTTCTTTTTTTATTACCTTTTACTTCTCCACTCTATAATGTTATCCGGATATCTGAACTAGTTCCTGTTTTGTACTTCATGAAGGGAGAAGCACAACAGAGCAGGCCTATCTTCAGCTTGGTTCCACATAAGAATGGAGTATACGCAATTGAGTTCAACTCATCAATCACTGCATTACAAGCCTTCTTTATTTCTGTAACAGTCATAAGCTGTCAGAAATCCACTGATCTTACAGTCTTGGGTAACCTACCTGAAGGAAGAGATATAATGGAGACTGTGGTAAATGGCAGCCTTGGAATGGAGAACAAACCAAACTTTCTCCTTGGAAACGTGCCTGCAAAACATGCTGCTAACACTTCTCGTTCCCCTGTTGGGAGAGTATAGTTTCGAAGTGGGACCTGCTTTACTTTTCAGGCATAATTCTAAATTCTCAGAGGTGCAAAAATGGGAAGCCAGGTTTAACTCTTTGAAATTGCATCCTTGGTTGACAATCAACCATTAATGAGACATACAGGGTCGGGCTGTAGGCTTGTTAGACATGGTTAATCATCATGATTTTGTAAGAGGTGCACAAAGTTACCAACAGATCACTTTGTATAAAAGAAATAATATTGGCAATTCAATATGCCACTCTCACTGGTTTAATCAAGTAGGTATTTCTGTAAAGTCAAGAACAGCGAAGTCCGGTATATTATCAGAAACGCTGTAGTAATATGCAGCGTGGTAATAAAGTCAGTATTTTTGGGTTCTTTTCTTTGCTGTGGTAATAAAATGTAGACTGATGCTTTCATAAATCGGTTGGAGAAGCACGATGAACACATATAAACCATTGACCATTAATCCTCCCAAATACGTTCCCCCCCAAAAAAAAAAAAAATGCAGTGCCGAAGCCTTACTATCCTCTTGGAACAGTCGAACCACTAATAGAGATTTTCAAAATAAAATATAAAAAATAATCCCTTTAAAAAAGAAAATGATAAGATAATTATTTAAATTAAGAGAAGTAAAAGCTCAATATAATTGGACTTAAGTGGCTAATGGATCATGGGTTTGATTTTTCAAGCTTGGTTGGTTTTTCATTAATTAAATAAATATTTAATTAATGACACTTGGTACATGCAAAAAAAAATATTTTATTTAAAGTTAATAAAATTTTATTTTATTTATAATTTATAAGTATTTGATTAATTAAAATATGTTCAAAATACACAAAAAAAAAAAGAACATATAGTTAAGTTTATACAAAACAAATAGATAAATTTATTTAAAATGAATAGTTTTAACTGTTAAAAAATATGTATTTTTTATCTATTCAAAATAAACAGTTATATTCATAGAAGAAAGAAATATTTATTTATTTATATAAAACTCCTCTTGTTTTCTAAAAAACATACACAAAAACAATTACCAGAATTTTTTATTTTTTCTTTAAATTTTAAATTTTTTTTTATAAAAATTTTACTGCAAAAAATATTTATAAAAATTCAGTGATATTATGATATGTTGATAAATATTCGGTGAACCAATTTTGTTAATACAAAACGCAATCAATTACTGGATTTCATTGTATTATCAAAGTTTATTGTATGAAATCTTTTTACATACTTACTAAGTAAATAATTCAATGAAAGCATATAAAACTTTATGAAAAGTAACACCATTACATATCTTGAAAATTTTTCTCAAATTTTTAATTTTATCAAAAGTAATAATTCAAGATTTTCAGTGATTGCACCAATAAGGTCAACTCTAGATTTAGGTGCTTCGGCATAGTTTTCTTCCTCAGTGGCAATCTGTAGGTCCCTTCGTAAGGGTTGTTCAGTCAACATGATGCTTTCAGCACTCAGGTTCCTCTCAATGTCATCAGCTTTTGCTTGGCAAGGCATCAACAGTAACATATGGGGATTTTTTCTAAAGGGTGCTGCACTAAATTAATCAGCAATTAGACCTGTTTGAAACTCAAATCCAATGAGGAAATACAGGAAATTATGTTGGTGAAGAGAATAACCTAAATAAAAAAAAAATCATCCGATCAAATATATATTGAAACATTTTTTGTAAGCTAAATTCGGGCTCAAATATTGGATTTGGATAACCTCACTAATCCACTAGAAGGAAAAGGTCAAACAACTTGACAATTAATTAATTGATACGGCAAAATCCGAGAGTAGCAGGATTCAACAATGGAGATCACTGCCACCCCAGATTGTAGTGTCGTCAGTAAGCTCCTGGCTATGCTATTGAAGCTACAAATTGGATTTTAAATTCTCCCCCTGCCAAGGCATCAAATATATCAAATTCCACAACCAAAAACTGTAGCTTCCCGTGATCACCGAGCCTGACCAAAAAAATTCTCATCTCAAAGCTTACTTCAGAAGTGGAACTGAGAAATCCAGAAGCATTCGAAAGCATGTCAAAGGATAAATCAGAATACTTTCCTTTCACACGATACACCAAATTAATGAATGGGATAATTGATAATGCTGAGGATGTGAATTTGCATAAGAAAGCAGACATTATCAAAGGTGATTTATACAGTGTTGAGATTTCTGAACTGTTGAACGGATTGAGTGAATCCATGGAGCCAAAAGCTATAGGGATATAAACAAAGATGAAGCTATTAAAAAAGTCAAGTCGATATTATGATAATACATTGAAGCGGAAGACAAATAAGCTTTTGAAGAAGTAAATTTCTCACAAATCAAACATGGTTTAATTCAAGAACAAGTGGGGAAGAAATAATCTTTTAAAATAATATAATTCACTTGCATTGTCAGGATTTGAGTGATCGACATTTATTAGCCTAAAGTCAAGTTTTGCAGGCTGATTTAATTCTTTGTTTAATTTTTTTGAAAATTTTTTGAGAGAAAGTTTGATATTTGAACAAAATTCAAACCCTCCCCATCTTCCATAATATCATAAAGATCTTCTAAAAAAATGAAAATTCAACGTAACCCTCCCATTTTCCATCCATTACTTGTTCACTTTTCCTAAAAAAAATAACTTCTATAAACCATCTGAATTCTGACATAAGGAATGACACAATTATCTCAATTATTTTAAAATGACATATTCTATTTTTAATTATTGGCTTTGGATTCATACTTTATCATATTGAAACCACCAATTCTAGCAGTGTGTTTCTTTTTCTTTTCCGTGGGTTTTTTTTTTTTTTTTCTGCTATGATGAAAGATTAGTTTTCAACCATTCATCATTATTGATTCAAATTTTCAACTCCTACATGCAATAAATGGTACCATGGGAGGAACATTATTCATGAATCAAGAAAAAAAAAAAACAACTTTCTTGTTAGCACCCAAAAGAAGAAATAATTTCCTACATATCAAACTATGGAAAAAAAGTGGTTTCACCTAAAGAGCAATTATGACTTTATAAATGATTGCAAGAAATACATGTCAAGCTTATATTTTTCAAATATCTTTGAACCAAGTGGCCCTTTGAGCCAATTCAAATTCAAATTGATGCCAAAGTGGGTCCAATATTATGCAAATTCAACTAAGCAAATCCTAATAAAAAAAAGTTATAATATATGCTCACCTTATAATATTATGCAAATTCAACGCTTGCAATTTATTTTTAAACTGTAATTTTTTATAAAAAAAAATTAAATTGAACAAACAATATTTAAAATGAATCAAAGATTGCACCAAAAGTCATAGGGTCATATCTTACTTTAGTCTTTAAGAAACTATTACTGTGGTGATCTTTTCATAGATTAGATTTTTCAGCCCATAAAAGGGCTTTATTTGATTCATTTTGTCAAGTTTTCTGTGTTGAAAATTTCTTCACCAAACTTTTTTTTAAATCAAAATTCTTCCAAAGGATATTACAATATAAATAAAAAATTAATGAGTTTTTAAAGATGTTTAGTGCAAGGCAGTATTTATAAATTATTATTAAAATTAATGATTTATATATTTATATCTTATTTTATATAAAAATTATATGTTATAATTTTTATTTATATAAAAATATAAAATATTTTTATTTTATTTTATTATATATATAATATTATTAAAATTTTAAATTATATCACTTTCTTATTTTATTTTAATATCATTTTTACATAGTAGTACTCTTTAATGTTTATCTAATCATCATAGGAGCAATATACACAAAAAAGTGTATTTTTTTTTTAAATAAAGTGAAAAAGAAAACCCTCTTTATAATTTTGTTTTGGGGCTTACTGTCACAATTCTCAACTGTCTCTCTCCGTGTTCAACTCGCGTTTTTAAGCAGAGAAAATCAGAGAATCGAAGCCGAAGAAGCCTTAATTCAACCCTGTTTCTCGATCTTGATAGTTGGATCGCGAGTGTTTGATCGCTTCTAGAATCGATCAAGCGGCGGCCTTTTTCAGTTATGGTGGATTTGAAGTTGGTTATTGAGCGGTTTTTAGTTTTAATGATGTTGGCGTTAACTGGTGGGTTTTGAAGTACTATGGAACTGGTTCTTACACGACAACAAGATGACGCTTTACATTGGTCGGGAAGCTTCAAAGGTGTGTGCTTTTTTCCTCTTGTTCTTGTTCTTTGTATACAAGAAATGGAAATTAGAAAGGATTTTAATTTTTTGTTTTTGTTTTGTAGTTATGGAAGAGAATTTGTGTAGAGACAACTACAGAGATCAACCTTCTTATAGACAATTGGAAATACCTTCTTGCTGGTCTCATTTTTCAGGTTTTTTTTTTATAATTTTTATTCAAATTAAACTCATTTCTATTTTCAGTATCTGTTTCTTTTGACTAATTTCAAACTTTGATTTCTTCCTCAAAAAAAGAAAAAAAAGAAAAGCATTTTAGGTAGTGGATGGGTAGTGGAATAGCTAGCCTTTTTTTTAATAGAGATGCTTGCTTTGATGAAAAAAGTAGGATCTGGTGAACTGTAATGATGGTGGTATCTTATAGTTGTTACTTGGAGACAAAATTGCTTTAGTAATGAAAATTTTGATCTGAATGGATGTCATTGTTGATTGTTTAAGCTTTAGTATGTTACTTTTCATTGTTCCTCAAAAGATTTTTGGGTCATCCAAGCTTGTTTGTGTTTGTATCTTCCAAAATTCAAGTATGCTTAATTTATGGTCATTTTATGATTAGAACGTTTAGTAGGCTGTAGCTTTTGTTGGGTCTGAAATGTGCATTTCTTCTGCAGTACATTCATGGTCTAGCTGCCCGAGGAGTTCATTATCTACACAGGCCAGGGCCAATACTTCAGGATATTGGGTTCTTTCTTCTTCCAGTAAGAACAAGTTTCTTTTGTTCTTGCTCTTTGCCTATCTCTATTACATGCCAATTATTTGGTGAAATGCATTCTTATATTTAATTTCTTGTAAATTTAGGAGCTTGGGCAAGATAAAGCCTACATTAGTGAGACAGTGTTCACCTTTATCTTTTTATCATTTGTCTTGGTAAGGTTATTCTGATGTTGTTGGCTTTTATTTTCTTTTACTTCCTTCTCTGTTGATAATTCCTCTCATTAGTTTTATTCAGTTCTCTCATTTTCACTACATGGTATTGCGGTTATCTTATTTCATTTCTACTAGCATCTTTTGTGCCTCCACTTCTAACATGTGAATTGCTATTCGCAGTGGACTTTCCATCCTTTCATCTTCAAGAGCAAAAAGATCTACACAGTTCTAGTTTGGTGCAGGGTGCTAGCATTTTTAGTTGTGAGTGCTGATGCTTAGTCTATATTTTTGTTCTGATTATATATGCACCAACATAGGGCCTTGTTCTAGGACTAGTTTTTAGGTTCTTCCTACTGTCATATTATGCTAATGTATGTTACTTTGGTTAAATGAAAAGCATTTTCTCAGTATTTTATTTACCGTTGTTTGTTTTTGTTGTTTATATATCTGTTGCAGGCATCTCAGATTCTCCGAATCGTCACATTCTATTCTACTCAGCTTCCTGGCCCAAATTATCATTGCCGAGAGGTATAGTCTTCAAATTATGTGTGTATTTGCTCTCATTGTTATGTTTACCTTTCGAAATGGTTTTCTTTTATTAATTTTTTTTCTTCATTGAACATTTGTTCTCTGAGGATTAATGCAAGAAATGAAATTGATTTTAAGATTATTTTAGTAAATAACTTGTGTTTTTTGCAGGGTTCTAAGCTTGCCACGTTGCCAAAACCGGATAGCATGCTAGAAGTCCTCTTAATTAATTGTACATATTCTTATTTTATTGAAAATTTCAATTTGTTGCTTTTAAAGATGTTTTTTAATAAATATTTTGGTTCATTTGCTTGTCAAATTTGCAGTTCCTCGAGGTGTAATATATGGTTGTGGTGACTTGATTTTTTCATCTCACATGATCTTCACCTTGGTTTTTGTGCTTACCTATCAGAAATATGGCACACGAAGGTAAAACATAGCTTATCGTTTTTCTTGTTTTTAGCTATTGCCACAAAGATAAAGGGAAAAGAATGTTGGAAATGTAACTATTCAGAACATCAAGAGTATTATGTTGAGTACCATTCTTATAACATTTCTGATTTACAATAGCAAAATGTTTAGATAAGGTTTTTCCCCAAGTATGTTTGATTAGTTTTCTTGTATGCAATCAATGGGCAATGATTCTATCTTGCTCTATTGACATACATATAAGTAGACAAATTGATTGGTTTCTCTGATGGTATTGTTGTATAATTGCAGGTGTATAAAGCAGTTTGCTTGGCTGGTAGCCGTTATTCAAAGTCTCTTGATTGTAGCATCCCGCAAACATTACACGGTTGACATAGTCGTTGCATGGTATGAAGTATAATTTCGAAATTTCTATTTATAATTAAAGTTTTATTTTTTCAATTTAGTTTAACTATAGTATGATTTTTCTGCAGGTATACTGTTAATTTAGTGGTATTCTTCATAGATAAGAAACTGCCAGGTTAGAACGCTTTGATCTTATCTAACTTTGGTCTAACCTTATTTTAATTCTTCCCCCACTGGTTGAGGCATAACCTTTGGCAGTGGATCTAACACCAAGATATTAGTGCAGAATTGCCTGACAGAACCAGTGGAAGCTCACCTCTGTTGCTACCATTGAGCTCCAAAGACAAGGATAGTAAGACCAAAGAAGAAAATCACAAGCTCATGAATGGGAATTCTGTAGACCCTGCAGATTGGGTATAATAATTTTGTTGGATAATTCTTTTCCTCTTTGAATATCTTCATGGTGATATCCAATTTAGATTGGCATTTATGTTTTCTTTTATTTGTTTAGAGGCCGAGAACTCAAGTTAATGGCAAGATTCTGGAAGATGCCAATGGAATCCATGTTGATACTGCAATGACTGGTGTATAGATGATGGAGGCTGCTGCTATCACTGTATTGGGGCTGCTTTAATCCTTAAGAACTTGGATTAAAGCTTAACTCCTTCCAAGACTGGTAAATTTGATTTGTATTCTTAAGAAAACAGAACTTGAGTGGTGCACTTGCATACTGTGCAGTTCTCCAGTGTCTTGGTCAAAACCATTAGCTATCATCAGCGTCATGTATCATGGAACTTTCTAGGTTCCTGTCGCTGCTGCAGCTGTTGGAATACTGTTTTTTTTTTTTTCTGGTCAACAATGTCGAATGGTGAAAATATAATTGTTATCTCTCAATGCCGAAGGCCATTGAGACAAACTACTTTAAAGTTTCAAGTGACTATTAAATCTTTTTATTTCATTTCAAGACAGGATTGCAGGTGGGGACTTGAATCTTAATAGAACTAAAAACCCTAGTAAAATCTGAAAAACTATGAAAAGTGTGATGAAAGATCATAGAATTTAGAGTAGGGGAACAGTTGCTCCTTAATGTTCATATAGTTGCGGTAGCTAGGCTTTAAAAGCTATGATTCCTGACAGGATGCAGCACATGACATTCCATCTCTGCACTGCTGCATGAGCTGGTGATGTAAGCCAATGCGTATTGTCTGAATGTTCCCAGGCGCCAGTTGTCTAAAATCCCCCCCCCCCCCCCTCCCCATATTTTACACGTTTGAAAGCCACGATGGTATGCAGCAAATGCTTCTTTTTCCTTACATAACCAAGCCAGGCTAAAATGTTCCATAGTTACTTTCAGGCAAAGTTCAACAGCTACACATTTCAACGATTTTATCTTTAAATCACTCCAATGGGCTTTTTGATGAGTCAAAGTACATGCCATTTATATTCGTACAGTGAAAATGGTAGCAATATGAATGTGCTGATTGTTACTATACCAACACAGTGAAGAGAATGCGAAGCCAAAAATAATCGTCTGCCTATAAAATCCAACAAAAGCGACGTGGCCTCGTTGAAGAACACAAATGCAACATGGCCATGGCTCTGGAACGAAAACACTCCCATTTAACTGTCGGCACTAGGGAACAGGGAGGGACCAAGACACGTCGGTATGACTTCAAATTGGAAAGATCATGTGGACGTTAGTGGGGGATACATAAAGATTGTTTAATACTTGAAACATTTTCCATACACTTTGGGGAAAAAAAGGAGCTCTTATGTCACAACTCTGTCAGAAACAAGTTATAATTTGAATAGGATCCATCTAATCCTATCTCTAACATCGTTGGAAAGGATTTAGACAAAAAGAAGGGTATGTATTTCTAAGTGGATCTGTATATTCTTTATTGTATTTCAAGAATATGGGCTGTATAACAGCTAGTCTTGCTTGCCCATGTGGGCTCTGTTTGGAAGTGTGCTTGTGTCGACAACTTGACGGCAAATAGGCCCCATATTTCTTCGGTGATCTTGTAAGCAAGGGTAAGTGGGTTGCTGCACCACCCCCACCTGTGGGGGATGACCAGAAAAGCGATGCTGGCGCAATTTAAGCTGTGAAAGTTTGGTCAATAAAGAGAAGAGTGAGGGAGAACAATGGCATGTCTGATTGAAAGGCTGAGGCCTGAGAGAAAGAAGCTGCAATTTCATCATCATTGTTGCATGTCTGAATAACGACCACTTTCTCCTTTTGCATGCCCTCCCTTCTTTTTCCCAGTAAAAAGCCGAAAAGGGGTCCTCTTGAGCCCTAAGTGGATGTACTAATTATGCCACCTCCTGTCAGACATGGCTCTCTTGATTCTTTTGGTTTTTTTGTTATATCCCTTGGTGGAAGAGTGTGACTAGGGCATGTTTAAATTGCAACAGGGATTTTTATGTATTTGTTGTATCTGATTTCTTGGGTCCATTTCTTGACTCTAAGCTTCCATCTTAGCTTGGAGATAGCAACGTACGTATATTTGCATAGACCAACTGGTTAAATATGCAGTAAGCAGATAGAAGTTCTGAAGTTCCAACTTCCAATTCATTCTGATAAATTCAGAAACGGGCTTTGGGAAAGGCCTTTGCTCAATTAGCCAATTACAATTTTTTATGTTGCCAGGAAAAGCCGGTGACAGGCTGTTCACTGAGATAGTTTCCTTCCTTTCATAGGTTAGTAGGTAGTCTTTAGAACAATACATGCTTTATAGGTACGTTATAGCCTGTAATACAATCTATTTCAAAAAGCCATCAGCCTTTGCTTCCGTTGATTAAGATTTCTTGGATCGACATTATTGGAATTCAATTCTGCTGACGAGTCAAATGACAAGTTGCTTCATTGTCAATGATCACGTGCTTTCCCACTCTTTCCTACAGTCTGCTGTCAGCGATTACTTCTTCTCTACTCAGTTATCAATGAAGCCTATAATTTAAAATTCTGTTAAAGAAATTCTTTTGTTACAAGTTTAGTAACAATCTTTTCCAGGTGATCATGCTCATTGTAATAAAACACGATTCTTGTTTCGTGGTGAATTTGTCATGCAAAACGTGATGCTTAAATAACTTTCAAACCCCACTTTCACTTAATTTATCACATTTTCAACAAACCAAGCGTGAGCTTTTGAATCCAAATTCCATGTTTTCTTCTCGTTTTTAATTCTTAAACCAATATCTTTTTTAGCCAAAACAGGAAACATATACCAAAAAAATGGTGAATTGGTCCTGGTCAAGGAAGATAGATACTTAGAAAAATTGGATAATAATCTGATAAATACATAACATAACAAAGTGAAATTGATCGTTAATCAAATTCTTAATGGAACTTTACCAAATCAAAGACCAAACGGACACACAATCGCATCGCATGTCATTTTTTCTTTTACTTTGACCAAATCAAAACTCTACGATCCTTGATTTGATTCCACCTTTGCCACCTACGCGTTAAAGAACCCGGTTTTCATACCTCAAAAAGGCCAAAAAACCCATCAAACCATAACATATTTTCCAAAAAAACCACCCAGAAAGTTGAAAAGATTAGAACAGAATTACTTAAAGAGGATGGAGAGGGAAAGGAAATGATTAGATTGTAGAAAAAAGATGAAACCCAAGAACAAAAAAGAGAGCTTTTTGGAATTGGTTGGATAAATACTTAATTTGCGACAAATTTTAAGCCATAAAAGTTCGCATTTTTATAGTACAGAGAGGAAAAAAAGTACTACTAAAGCTGAACCGAAACACACAGGATTCACGACGATCAGCAATGTACGGAATCTGATAACAAGCCCTTGATTCTCCGTTGTTAGATCTTTTGACCTGGGAAATGGGAGCTCGTTGTTCTAAATTCTCTATCTGCTGGTTTCAGTCTAACCTTAAAGCTTCCGTCCTCGAATCCTCCGAACTCGGTACTCTTTTGTCTCCTGTTTCTCCGTTTAAAGAATCTTCGTTTTTTTTTCTTTTTTTTTTTTGAGTAAAATTGTAATTAAATGCAGAAAATGGGGGCAAAGGTGAGAAGAACACATGGCCGAGTTTCACTGTGTTTAGCTTGGAGCAATTGAAAGCAGCCACGTGTGGGTTCTCTTCCGATAACATAGTGTCGGAACACGGTGAAAAAGCTCCTAACGTGGTTTTCAAAGGGAAGCTCGATAATGACCGTTGGATTGCCGTTAAGCGGTTTAACAAGTTCGCCTGGCCCGATTCTCGCCAATTCCTCGTCCGTTTAATTCAATCCTAATTGCTTTTGTTTTTTTTTTTTTTTTAATCTTTGGTTAAAAAACTATACAAATATTAAATTAAAATGTGTTTTAGGAGGAAGCAAGAGCAGTTGGGAGTCTAAGGAGTGAGCGGTTGGCAAATCTGATTGGTTGCTGTTGTGAAGGCGAGGAGAGATTGTTGGTCGCCGAGTTTATGCCCAATGAAACGCTGGCTAAGCATCTTTTTCACTGTAAGTTATTTCCTTTTTCTTTTCCACTGTGAAAATGATAGCTCAGTCGAGCCTCAAAGTGAAGTTAGCAGTTAAAAGTAAAGAATGTTACTTGGTTGAATTGTCAGGGGAAAATCAGCCAATGAAATGGGCAATGAGGCTGAGGGTGGCACTGTACTTGGCGCAAGGTTTGGAGTATTGCAGCAGTAAGGGAAGAGCTTTATACCACGATCTCAATGCTTACAGGATTTTGTTTGATAATGTAAAGTTAACGAAGATTTTGCTTGTGAAATGACCCTTTTAGTCATCTTGGGTTTTGATTCTGAATTGTGTTTTCTGTAACAGGATGGTAATCCCAGGCTGTCTTGCTTTGGGCTCATGAAGAATAGCAGAGATGGCAAGAGTTATAGCACAAACTTAGCTTTCACACCTCCTGAATACCTAAGAACAGGTTAAGTATGTTCAAACGATTCATTTTTTCTGAATATTATACTTTGGAATCTCAACTCAAAGTCTGGATGTGCTTCTTTGGCAGGTAGAGTGACGCCAGAAAGTGTTGTGTATAGCTTTGGAACCTTGCTGCTAGATCTTATGAGTGGCAAACATATTCCTCCCAGCCATGTAAATTCTCTTTGTCTCATTATAATTTTGGTTTCAATTAGGATATTGTCTATGTTACTGAAGTTTCCTTTGCAAGACAAATCTTGGTCATGTGAACTTCATTCATATTGTGAATCCGGATATACCAATAATTGGTTAGAAAAATTACTATTTACTGTTATTTCTGATGTATGATTTGATTACTTAATGAGTTAGCATTTTCCTATATTGGCGGAGCTGTTATAGCTGCATGCTGAGTAATTTCATTAGATGCTGTAGTTTTAATGATCATTGGTAAAGCTTTTTGATGGTCTAAAGCATTTCAAATGAAAATATGATGCCAACATTTGGATGCTATTGAATTAATCTATGGTATTTAAGTGTCTGTATGCTTTGTTTGTAGGCACTTGACTTGATTCGTGGCAAGAATTTTCTCATGTTGATGGATTCTGCTTTGGAGGGCCATTTCTCTAATGATGATGGAACAGAGTTAGTGCGGTTAGCTTCTCGCTGTTTGCAGTATGAAGCTCGCGAGAGGCCAAATGCGAAGTCCCTTGTTATATCTCTCATGGCACTTCAGAAGGAAGCAGAGGTACATATAATTGCTGATTGAATTGATCACTGCAAGTTCATATTCTCTAGCTGTTATTTTGTATAATTTGGTATCTTCCCGACTTTTGTACTGCAAGCTCAAGGAAATAAATGTATTTTTTGTACTGCAAGCTCAAGGAAATAAATTTATTTTGTACCTAAGCACATTTCTTCTCCATGTCCTTCATTATTTTGGATTATCTTTTGTAAACACCATTAAATTTCTCATTATATGGAGTTTTGCTAGGTACCATCATATGTTTTGATGGGTATTCCACAAGGAACTGCTACATCAAAACAGCCATTGTCGTTGACACCTTTTGGGGAGGCTTGCTTGAGGATGGATCTGACTGCTATACATGAAATATTGGAGAAGATGGGATACAAAGATGATGAGGGTATCGCTAATGAGGTTTGCCTTTCCATCACTGATGATCTATTTGCATGAGCAAAGGAGCATTTCCTGCCTGTGTTCTATTGTGATGCCTATTTTTACTACTTTCTAGGTTACTGCAGCAATTATGTAATTTCTATCTAATTGAGTTTTCTTTTTCAGCTTTCTTTTCAAATGTGGACCAGCCAAATGCAGGAAACGTTGAATTCTAAGAAGCATGGAGATACTGCTTTTCGAGCTAAGGATTTTGCCAGTGCAATTGATTGCTACACACAGGTGAGTTTCCCATGTAAAAATGTGCACCACTTGTGATTGTTGCAGTATAACATGCTAAATAATAAACACCATGCTAAAGAAGCAAGGGAAACAAGAAAATAAGGGTTTGATGATTATAGCTATAAGCTAAATATGGACAGCACTAGCTCAAATCAACATATTTAGAAAGAAATGATAATGGCCAGATACATGTTCCTGGAAAACAATGGGGATTTGGGTGGGGTGAAGCACTTGGTTAGTGTTTTCCAAAAAAACAGAGAAGGTTCTTTATCAACCACATGGGCACCACCTAATTTTCTTCTGAAAATTTATTGCTAGTAGCAGGCATTGAATTTGAACTCAACTCATTATTAATGTAGTACCATTTTCAAGTCGAACACTTGTGCATTAATAAACCATACAGGAAAGATTTTTTACGGGGATAGACTCAACTCAAAGATGTTGTCTGCCTTATGTAGTTCATTGATGGCGGGACCATGGTGTCGCCAACCGTCTACGCCAGACGCTGCTTGTCTTACTTGATGAATGATAGGCCACAAGAGGCCCTTGGGGATGCTATGCAAGCGCTGGAGGTGTCTCCTGAGTGGCCTACTGCTTTGTATCTACAAGCGGCTTGCCTGTTTAGCCTAGGGATGGAAAGTGACGGCCAAGAAATGCTCAAAGATGGGACCAACTTCGAAGCCGAAAGGAACAAAAACTGAAAATTGTAAATGTTTTTAAAATTGTTTTATTTTTTTCCCATAGTTTTCTTTAGGCTCTTACATTTTTTCCTTATTTTCCATCTGTTTTAGCATTCTGGGTTTTCGCTGCATTGCAGAATTCATCAATATTTATTGTTGGTTTTGATATTTCACGTTTGTTCAATCTTCTAGTGAGGTGTGTTAGAGGCTTTGAACTATCATATAGAAGAATGTCTTAAATTTAATACATAGTTGTTAATTTTGTTTTGGTATTGATTGATACGCTCTAATAATATCAAAATATGATATATTTAAAAATAATATTTTACATTGAATTTGATACCTGATAATATTAATTGTTTTTGTTAGTTTCAACTGATTTTGGTGCAAAATTCATCAATATTTATTACTGGTTTTGATATTTCATGTTTGTTCAATCTCTCAGAGAGGTGTGTTCAAGATTTTAAATTATCATATTGAAGAATGTCTAACTGAAATTAAATTATAGTTAATTTTGTTTTGATACCGACTGTAGCTGGTACTAGCCAATACACTTTAGTTATATTAAAATATGATATACTTAAAAATATTTTTTCACACTAAATTTGGTACCTGACAATATAATTGTTTGTGTTAGTTTTGCATTTACCAATCACGACTCCATAACAAATGACAGACCAAGACCATATCCATCAAGAACTCGTCTAAAACCAGATATATTGATTGCCTACTTTAAAATACTAAAGCAAGACAGAGCTTTGATAATTATGATGAATGTGCAGATATTAGATATAACAAGCTTTCTACAAGTATGGTGAAGAAGAGGGGTTTATAACATCTATTAAGCATCACAAGACTCTAGATTATCCATTACTAATCATCACGGCAACAAATTTCTCCAGGCAGTAATTCGGTTTCTTTATTTGTCATTCTTTCAATTTCGTTCAGGGACTCTGCTACAGGATTTTAGGATGATGGCACATTGAAGTGAAAGAGCCATGATATGACAAATGCAAATACCATGCAAGCAAGGAGAAAATTGAGGAAGCGATGGCTATGCCAGAAGTTTCGAGAGTCTGTATGGGGTGCTGGTCCGGAGACTGCAGCTGTTACCGTGGAACTGTTGGTCTCATTTGATTGCTCTGTCGACTCAATCTCGTTCACTCCAACTACATTGCGTGCAATAGAATGGCAAATCTCACAGGTCCTAACAAAATTAAGCAGACTGACTGTTAAATCACAAAAGAAAAAGTCCCACTATCAAGGAAACACAGTACGAGGAGGAGCTGATATACCATTGGAGGCAAGGATAATGGTTAATGATGTTGAATGAGTAATGGAACATGCAGCATTATAGATTTAATGATACAATACACAATCATTACACCCTGCATTTCAGTTAAAAGTTAAAGCTGCCACTTATATAATAACTAGAATCAGGGAACGTCTTGCACCAATGGTTTCGTATCTAAAACATCAACAATCCCTAATCATGTCAAGCAAGAAATCAGGAATCTGTAACTGTGGATTAAAATTTTCCAAAGTGGCGCACTAGCAAGCAATTATCTTCAACCAAAGATTGAAGAATGCAACACTGAGGGTCAAATCCCCACTTTCCTACAAGGAAAGAGAACCAGAAGGAAAAGGATAGAGAGATTCCTAAACCTCAAAAAAGCACATAACAGCAAAGAATTATCGGTGTCGTCAGACATATCATGAGGTGTTCTTAATGCTTTTAGCCTTTAGCTTTACTTTAATTTCTATCAAACTCCTTTATAAATATAATATCCATCCCACTTTCTTCTCCATTAAGCAAATTTCTATTTTTCACTCGCATCTTTTCTCCTTATGACTTAATCTAACTAGGATTGTAAAAACTAAAACCTAAAACAATTCTATACAAATAGTAAATTGTAAAATACTATCAGGAAACAGTAATCCCGAGTCTAAGCAATCATCAAAAGAACAATACATACAAATTACAATTATGATATACAAAAGATAGTTTTCACTAAAAGGTTCATAATGTTAAGAAGTTACCAACTAGACATCTAGAATTTCACCAGGAAGGCAAAAGTAAACATAAAAGTGAACAAGTAAAAAAGGGCTAGAACTCTTTTACTTACTTATTTCCTCTGATCTTGAACCAAGCCTCAGCACACTGTTTATGAGCAGCAGCAAGATCATCCTTACAAGAACAGCCCAATTCAATAGGAACACCAGATTCATGGCTGTTACTTTCCAAACCCAAGTGACAAATTCTACAATCTTTCTCAAGTTTCGCCAAATGCACCTTAATTTCAGGAACTCCCCTCTGAATCTCCACCTCCACTGAATAATCAGAGACCGAAGACAGCCTCCTGGAATCGGGCACGTCACCAATCTCTCCGTCAGAAGCGCAAGCAAAACTGTACTCATCGTAAGAGCCACCTGTGGTAGAATAAAACTGAGAGTAGCATGAACCCTCTTCGGCGTCCGAGAAGCATACGCTAGCCTCGCCGGCGCTGACGTCACTCCAGTTCCGGCGGTGAGTTCCTTGCTCTAAATCGATATGGGACATCTCTAATGATGACATTTTGGAAACGCTGAAACTTGGAGCTGAGGCTCTGTAAAGAGCATAACAGGCTTAAACTCTCAAGGTTTGAGGATCAATACTCAATAGGTTCAAAGTTTCAAGCTTTTTGAGTGGGTTTTGAACAAAGTTTGGATAAAATGTGAGCATTTAAAGAAGTTACTATTGGATTAGGTGACTCTTTACCCTTTGCGTCCATTAACGTTTCACTAACGAATAAAATTTATTAAATGGAAAAAAATTGGAACCTCCATAAATGAGAAACCAAAAGGTGAAAATATGACAAGAAGCTTAAAGAGAACAAGAGTTGTTCAAAGACAAAGGACTCATGCTCTGCTAGAAGTGTTGAGAGTTGAGACTTAGACACGCACTACAAAGAAGAACCGAAACGTGCAATGAGTGAATATAGAACTGAGAAGAGGTATCTTTGCTTCTCATTCACATTATTTGACAATTAAAAAGTATAAAATAAAAGAGAGACAGAGAAACAAAGTTGTTGGAAGATTTCGTGTTGGTACTTTGGGATCTTTGTCTTGAGCAGAATCTGTACGTCCGATGGTATCAGTTTAGCGATGTGTGAATCTTTAAGATAATCAGACGGTTGAGATTCGATGTACGCACACTCCTTAGCATAGCATGATCCTTTTACGACACAAGAAACCCTGGATAAGAAGCAATGGGTAGTTTTGAAGTAAACTAATAATTTGATCAGTGATCACATCAGGCAAGAGAACAGTGATGATGAACTGATGTATCAAATGGGTGGATTAGGGTACCGTTAATGGAGACTGATAAAACAAGCAAAACACCTGATAAAAAAAAGGTTAGAAGCGTTTATATTAAGATGAATCATGCATCAAATGCTTAGACGTATGAATCATCAATTACAAATTTTATGAAGTAATTTGATTTATGTAGTTGTGGGAAATGTGAAATTGGTTTGAAGACACGACTGGTAATCTGGAAAACTGAGCTTTGAGAGCAAAATTTAAGGGATTTGAGAATCCGATGAAAATGGACCAGACATGTTTATTTGCCGACTAAGGCAAAAAAGCTCAGTACCACATTGCTTTTATTTTCTTCTTTTCCTTTTGGTGTCATGAATACTTTCAATTAGGCTTTGAAGGCTTCAACCAATGGTGAACAATTACTTCACCAATTACTAATTGAAAGTTGAAGTCTGAAGCTTCAACTCCAAACTAATGGAGTAATTGGAAATCTGTTGGGAACTCCATTGTCTAGCCAGAGAGAGGTTAAAAGGAACTTTTAATTTTTCTATGATTTTTTTTCTTCTGTTGACATGAAAATTATTTGCAGCCAACAACCCCAAAAAAGAAGTAAAACCGTTTTGGATCGCGTGGAACATCATCAACCATTCCACTCCAGCAATTCCCATTTCCCCTCGAGAACTAAAGAGGAGCAAGTGAACTGTGCACATGGTGGTGGGGCTGGTAAGCCTCTTTTTGTTGAATCTGCCATCTTTGTTTTCCTAATATTCCCTTTTTTTATTTATTTTCCCTTTTTTTTTCAGGAATAGTTTGTTAGAGCTGTTAAAAGAAGACAAGCATCTACCAAGAATTCTCCCTTGTCTTTAGAAACTGAAAACCCTCCATCTTAACATCAATAAATGATCCAAGTTGTACCTCACTTTGGTTTATCAATTTGCTTCTCTAATCTCTTTCTAAAAGGTCCCTTGGTGTTTAGGTTCAAACTCAAAAGAGTGCACAATCCATCAAGTCTGGCGTTTACTTGCGTTTGTTTACCAGATATGATATCTTATGGTTAGAACTTTTCTGGTTAAAATTTCCAGGATTAGGTCTCTAAGACAAATATTCAATTCATCCTTGTAAACACAAGCCAACACAGAATACACACACACACACAAAGCTAAAAAACAAAGATTCAGTGCATGAAGTTGAATCTGTCTATTCATAAACCAACAGAATTGGCATGAAAATAGACTGATGGATGATTCGGAGTTAGGTACCACAAGCTGATATTTCACGTCAGGTTTAAAAGAAAAAGCGGCTCTGCAAATGCAATGCCACGTGTTTATCTCTTTCAAGCAGCCCCTGGTATGCGTCTCTTTCAGGGTGGTTTGTATCCAGGAAAGATTTAAAGCAATTTTTTCTTTTCCTTTCTTTTTTAGAAACTTGTGAGTGAAGGGTTATAAGCATGCTTTTGTCACTAGCCAAGGGCACTCGTTAGTTTTGAAACCAGATGTCTTCCACTTTCTATCAGCACCATCCCAGCTTTAAACATTTCACTCTGATTTGCTAGCAATAGAAAATAAAGATAATTTGCCCACATTATCCGCTTGAATTGAACTTCAATAGGAAAAAAACTAGATACACAACAAAAAAGAAGAATAGTAATCAGAATGTAAATCAATATGTCCAAACTTTGCCATCAATTCATGCTGCTGGTACAAAGGTATTAACAGGCTTTGTTTGTAACATGAATAGGTAAAAAAAACCTTCCCTGAATCAAATTTATCAACTGCTATGACCATTTAAGCATGTAGGTCAAGCTTTGCAATTACCATGAAAGAATGAAGCACTTCTTACAGTTCACTTCAGTACCATACTGCGTTTACTTCAAAGACAGAGAAACCGGGATCACACATCACTACCAAGCTAATTGAGAGGCTATTAAAAATCCTTGACTATCATTCTTTATCGTTTTTCTGACCACCTTCTTGGCTTCTACATAATAATACATACCAAGGACAAGGCAATGTCTCAACCTGGAAGTACGATTGCTCCTATTCTATGTTGACAGCAAGTTGGTCATTGTGCTCATTAACTTCTTGTTTTTCTCTTCAATGCGTAAATGATCATCCATTCTGCCCTCTTCAAAATGTCCCACGCTCACTTGAGATCTATGAAATGCTGTACCATCAGCCGCATCATCCATTGCTTTGATGCTGTTATTATCCAATCCACTTTTCAGCCAAGCAAGGTTACTTATATCAGTGGCTATTGCAGCCAATTCATAACTTGGAAAAGATGGAGGTTCTGAAAATTCCACAAATTCTGGCCCCAGCAAAGAGTTATTTAGGTTTCTACCATTTTGAGTTCCACAACAGCCATGACCACATTGTAGAGGCACTAAACGTTCAGTGAAAACTCCTTCAAGCAATTTGCATATTCCAACATCTGGCTTTGATGTTTGAATTGGAGTTCCTAGCATTGGAACTGGCCTTGAACGTGGTGAAACAAATTCTGGTGCATCCACATTATTATAAACATTAAAAGCACTGATACGGGCTACAGGACGGAAAAGAGTAGGCGGTTCAATTGATTCATGACTAGATTGAATCCCTGTTAGGTCTTTGTCCTTTAATTGATCATCTAACTTTTCCAAAGAGCTTATATCTTTTCCTTCCAGGGATCTGAATGAACTGTCCTCCGCACAAGACAGAGTTTCTTCAGATGATGCCTTGGTTTTGTCCAAGCTAGCATCTTCCACCATATTTTCAGATTTTGATTTTACCCTACCAAGCTCCATGTACTGACGCCGCAGTGTGGAATTCCAATGGTTTTTAATAGCATTATCTGTTCTTCCAGGCAGAAGCCTTGCAATCACTGCCCATTTGTTCCCATGTACTGCATGTGCTGAAATTATCGTCTGATCCTCCTCATCTGCAGCAACATGATTATCAGCACAGTTTATCAGAAAGCATATTTTCCATTCCTGTATGTAAGCCTAAATACACCAACCAACTATCAAATGCATAGATATGCATACACGGTAAAAACATTGATGAAGTGAAAGTTGCAAGCTAATACTGGCTGCTACGTCCTGAACTTATGTATATGGATATAACTATGAGCACAATACGCTTTGACCTAAAGATAATACATATTATTTCTGCTCGAACACTAAGCATATGATATCAAGATAACTTTCCCCTTCTTCTTACTTTCTTACGAGCAATGACGCTTCCCTAACAGACAATCAGTTTCTCTGATGCTTGCCAAAATTATTCACATCTCCAAACAACTAGACTCCTGTCCAATTTGGTCGAGAAACATGTGAATCAAGCTTCTACATTGCAAAAGCTAGCTACTTGGATTTCACTTTCTACATTAGTATCTCTGTTTCTCTCACACATATCCCCAAAATTCACAAAAAAAGATCCGAATTTTGGGAAATTGATATACTTTTCGCTACAATTACATGACATAACTTAAACTTTGAACATGGTACTCAAAAGTCAACCTTAAACTTTGAACATAGTACTAAAAAGTCAACTTCAAATTATTACATGAATCTAACAGGCAAAAAAATCCAAGCAATTCCCAAAAATTAATAAAAATAGAAAACCACATGCAAAGATCAAAAATCGATAAAGGTGTAGACTTTGTACCAGTAAATGGCTTGCGCTTAACGGCCGGGTCGAGCTGATTACACCAACGAAGCCGACACGACTTGCCAGACCGACCGGCGATTCCGCGCGCAATCAAGCTCCAATTCCTCGCCCCGAACTTGCTCACAAGTTCAATCAGTATGGCATCTTCCTCAGGCGACCACGGCCCTTTCACTCGCTCTTTTCGCCTTCGCTCTCCGACCGCCAAATCGTCGCGGCTTACCTCATCGCCGCCATCTAGGGCTGCTGGTGATTGGACGTTGATTTCGGTAACGGTCGTGTCGTTTCCGTTTTCAACGGCTTCCGTTTCCGTTTCCATTTAGTGCGAGAGTGATGACAGTCCGTTGAGTACCAGACTTAACGGCAAAGAGTGTTTATTACGTGAACAACGAAGACAACTTGAAATAGACTTATCAGGCGAGTGTTGTGGGGAATCTTCTTGTTTGACGGTTTTAACCTCAAAGTTTTTCCCTCTTGACGGATATGCCCAACAAATTTTAAAAAATATAATACTAAAAATAGCATTAAACAAATTGCATTTATCTAACAAATATAGTCAATAATTGGATTTCTTTTATAAAATGCCGAGTTATTTTTTTAAAAGAAGGATATATAGGGAGGGTAGTTTTGTATTTTCACGTTTGATCCAATTTGGACAAATCGCAACACTTTCAACCTTGAAAATTTGAGCGGCGACCGCGGTTTGGATTAGCGGGAAAGCTGCTGCCCTCAGGTCTCAGCCGACATGTCACATCGTTTGGATCATTGAACAACGATAATTCATGATTAAGATTATTATTTATTTACATTAATTCGAATAAGATTAAGAAAGCATCATGTAATTTCTGCTATTTATGTTATTATCGATCTATATTTGATTCACGTATAAATTTTATATATTATTAATAAATATTTATCTTTTAAATAATTATAAAAAATTAATATTTTTTTAAAATTTATCTATGATATTGTTTAATTTATTTTATTAATAAAATAATATAATTCATATTATTTTATTAATATATAAAATTTATATATCGATAACTATATCAAATATAAATTGTATATGGATATATAAATTTTATTAGTATTATAAATTTTTTTATAAATTTTACTTTATTTCAAAAAATATAATAATAAAGTTCCTTTTGTTGGTTTAAAAAATAATTTATGGACTCTGCAATTGGGCTGTTGGACTGGGCTTGGATTAATGGCAAGTCATGTCTATTTTTTGGGCCACTTTGATAGATTATTAAAAATGTTAATAATAAATTTTATATTTAATTCGATTGATTTATTTTGATGTCATTATTTAATAATTTTAAATTTTAAATTTTTTTATTTTTAAATTACAATATCTTTTATAAAAAATAAATTTATAATGAACAAAAGTTCAAATAGTTAACATTGACATTAAAATGTGACTGTTGATTTTGGCATGTTATATTATTTTGATTTAATTCCAGCTTTTGAGGCTGAGAGAATACGTTCAGACCAGAATAGATTTTCCAGGGCTTTGATTCTATTGTTTCGGAATGTTTAGGTCACTTATATGCAAGTTTGTTGGAATTGAATCAAGATTTATATTTTTATTATTATTATTTATTTTATATTAATATTTTATAATTATATGATAACACAATATGGATATAATACGAAAATATGACACAAGAATAACACCACTTAAATTTTAGTAATAATTATACATAAATTTAATAAAATTAAAAAAATATATTTTATATTTTTGTATTGACATAAATTAAGATACGTAATTTTAGTATAAAAATAATATAAACATACAAATTTTAATATTTTACGTGATATAACTATACGAATCATTAAATCTAAATAAAGTAATGGATTTTAGCATAGGGTTGACTTAATCCAAGCATGGTATATTATATACACCATTTTTCTTCATTTTTCCTGATTTTACTTGGCCAAATTCAGAAAATTATTTTTTTAGTGAAATTTTGAATATTCAAGAGGATAAATAGTTGAGAACTTGACTTATGATTCATAATAAGAAGTTTTTTTTTTTTTTACAATTATTTCTTATCCTCAATATCATATTTTTCCAAGGAGTCAAAGACAATCAAGATAACAAATTGCAATAATTTAAGACTAATGTGATGCTTTACTAACCTCAAGTATTTATAGGGCGTCGGAAGTAAGCTAGACGACGTAATTTATTCAGTATTAACCAATCCCACATTAAAGTAGACTCCATTTATTTATGTTACTTTTAAAATATGATGTTCCACAAGTTTGAAATTTAAATTTGAGTATTTATATATATATTTATTGTATTTTGAGGTTGAAGTAAAGGGTGAAATGGAAATCTACATTATATTTTAATATTGTACATATTGAATGGAGTTGGTTCAACGTTTAGAGATTGTTTAAAATTTTGCATATTATAAGGTGAACCAGAGAGTTGGGTTAACTGTTCAACCTAATGAAGAACCGAAGCACATCTTATTATCACAATTCACAACCTTTGGTTAAAAAACCAAATTAAATTGATGATTTCCACAATTGTAATTGTGACGGTTTGATCATTAAGGATGACTAATTGAGCTTACTAATTCCATATTGAATAAGTAATCAATTAATAAACTTGAGCACTCCTTTCAATTAGAACCAAAAACGTATACGCTATAGCTATATGCATATTTGCCTTCTTTTTCCCATCTAAGTTCAATCATTTTTATATAAATTTAGTAATTTAATATTTACTAACCCAAAGCACTATGCACCAACACCTATTTGATGTGCCCTTTGCCTCAAAATTGCACTGTGATTAGATTTCTTAAAGGACGAGCCAGCAGGACGAGCCAGCAGACTTTTTAATAGATTACCCCAAAACCCAATGGAAAATTCGACTGAGGCAATAATATTGGTTGAAAATGGGAAGAGGCCCTTTGGACTACAGATAAAATATTTCAAATTCTGAAGGACTTTTTTTGCTTGAACAACCAAGATTCTATCATATACTTCTGCATAGGAAGCCTTTTTTTTCAATGGCCAAACTTAATCCCCCTAATTAACGAAGGTTCGACTAACTCATTGACTGCCCAACTCAAAATTCTAATAGCAGAAAATACTTTCCAATGGCTAGGTTGTTTCGCAATCGTGTGCCAAATGCTATGGCCCATCTTTTTCTTTTTTAAATTCTGGATATTGCAGGCTATAGTTGACAAATATTTACGTAGGTTAAAAGAAAAAACCCCACACTTCTAATATAAATAGAAGCTCTCGTTTCTCTTACCCTCTCATTCAGGGCAAAGAAATCCATATTTTTCTCTCCCTCTCCTCTCTTCTTTCGTCTTGGTTGGCACTTGGAACCCTTCATTTAAAATGGGGGGCCCTGGTTTCTTGTTTGCTTGTGCTTTGCTTCTTCTGCTTGCTTCAACAGCTTCAGCTGCAACAATAGTGGAGCACACATTCTATGTAATCCACAATCCATTTTCATTTCTTTTCATGGATTAATTGAATTAACCTCTCCTTTAAAAACCAAAGGGTCAATTTTTTGCATTGCAACTCAAGCTCAGGGCAACCTGGCTGTCATTGCAATCATGGCCTTGCCAAGTAACACCATGCACGTTGAATATATACAAAAAGAAATTAAAAACTTAAAAGTTAATCGTACCAGCTTTTTCAAATACCCTTTAGGATATTCCTTTAATGATATCTATCTCTTTGATTAGCAACCTTGATTAGGTACATACTTAGGTCATTAGTCGCTGTTTATTGCTCAACCTTCTTTGCGCTTATAGGCAGATTCCCTATTAACCTTTTTTCTCTGAAGGAAAGTGATTAGTGTTTGACTGGTATTAATATTTGTCCCTAACATTATTATTTTAATTTGTTGGCAGGTGCAAAATTTAACTGTTAGTAAGCTATGCAACAGCCAAGTGATAACTGCAGTAAATGGCAGCCTCCCTGGCCCAACAATTGACATTCAAGAGGGTGACACACTAATTGTTCATGTGTTTAACAAGTCACCTTACAACTTGACTATTCACTGGTAAAATCCTCATGAAAGATACAAGTAGAATTTAATTAGTTTTCACCAAATTTTTTTATTTGAATTTGACAAAGAAAAATGAAGCATAATAACAAATCAAATCTTCCCTTCCTGCTAAGAGCTAGCTGTTTCTAGCGTCAGTTTGCTAATTCATTTGTGTAATTATTTTTTACTTATTCTTCAAAATGTTTTGTGTTTTCGTGAAGAAAATGAACATCACTGTCCATACATCTTGAAGCGAAGTCGGTTCTTGTTTTATTAATTCAGAAGAGAGATTTAATTAAAAAAAGAACGCTCAACTCCAACAACTGATAGTATAGTTATATTCATATGTTTAGTACTAAAACTAAATTTATAGCTTAGTTTTTTCTCTTATACTAATAGATATTGATATTCATATGTTAATTTGACTATCGGTATCGGTTGTGTTGGTGGACTAATGATTGTTTGAGCAGGCATGGAGTGTTTCAGAAACTGAGTGGCTGGGCAGATGGACCTAACATGGTCACTCAATGTCCAATTTGCCCCGGAAGTCAATACACCTACAAATTCACAATCATTGAGCAGGAGGGAACCCTCTGGTGGCATGCTCATGTGTCATGGCTCCGTGCAACCATCTACGGTGCACTAATCATTCGCCCCAGAGCCGGCCAGTCCTACCCATTCCCTAAGCCCTACGAGGAAATTCTGATCATATTAGGTAGTTAATCGCTTTCAATTTATAACAGGATCTAAGATTCTACTGAAGAATGTCTAAGACTATTAGTTGATCACAAATAGTTTCATAATGTTGCAATTCCATAAAAGCAATTGGCTTAACAGAAAATATCAATGGCGTTGCAGGTGAGTGGTGGAATGCTAATGTCGTTGATGTGCAGAACCAGGCACTTGCCACTGGCGTTCTTCCTAACATTTCTGATGCTTATACGATAAATGGATGTCCTGGTGATCTCTACCCATGCTCTAAAAACCGTAAGTGATTACCAATACATCTCTATGCACGTACCCGATTTTAGTAATTAATGTTAAATTAAATTATATGGTTTACCATCAGAAATGTACAAGCTTAAGGTGGAGCCAGGAAAGACCTATCTCTTACGCATTATCAACGCTGCACTCAATAACCAGCTCTTCTACAAGATAGCGAATCACAAGATGACAGTTGTGGCCACTGACGCCTGCTACACCAAGCCTTATGTCACTGATGTCGTGGTTATGTCCCCTGGCCAGACAGTCGACATTTTGCTAACCGCCGATCAGCAGGTTGGGTCGTATTACATGGCCGCTAGAGCATATGCAAGTGTAGCTGGAGCTGTTATACCGTTTGATAGTACTACAACAAGGGGTGTCGTCGTATATGAAGGTGCTCCGTCTTCAGCAACACCGGTAATGCCAGCCCTCCCTGCATTCAACGACACCCCGACGGCCCACAAGTTTTTCACCAACATTACAGGGTTGGTTGGTGGGCCTCACTGGATCCCGGTCCCACTTATGGTGGACCTCCAAATGTTCATCACCATTGGATTGGGGCTCGAGGTATGTCCAGCAAACACGACTTGCGAGGGTCCAATTGGGACGAAACTCTCTGCCAGCATGAACAACGAGTCCTTCGTGTTTCCCATCAGCTTGTCTATGTTGCAAGCCTTTTACTTCAACGTCGGAGGAGTTTACACCACTGATTTCCCTGCTAAACCCCCAATTCAGTTTGACTACACCAACGCAAGCTTTAACATCAATAACCCATCTCTGTTCTTCGCTCCGAAAGCAACCAAGGTCACCAAGCTTAAGTTTGACTCAACTGTGGAGTTAATCTTTCAGAACACAGCTCTCCTTGCAGTGGAGAATCATCCCGTGCACCTCCATGGCTTTGACTTTTACGTATTGGCTCAAGGGTTTGGAAACTATAACCCCGCCACGGATAGAAAGAAGCTCAATTTTATCAACCCACAAATTCGCAACACTATTGGTGTGCCAGTAGGAGGATGGGCTGTCATCAGATTCAGAGCAAATAATCCAGGTTAATTCTATGATCATTAACTTAATTTCATATTAAGTTAGATAGTCAAATTTTGTGACCATGTCAAGGGAATTACTTCCAAACCTGGTTTATACAAGTATTAGAGTTCCTTTCTCTAGTGCAGTGATGAAAGTGATGGTTCAATGTTTCTTTCTTTCTTTCTTTCTTTCTTTTTTAATTTCTTTGTCTAGCCCCTTGTGAAAGCATTGAAAGATTAAACTTAATATTGTTGTTTCTATTCATGATCTCTACTGTGCAGGTGTATGGTTAATGCATTGCCACCTAGACATGCACTTGTCAACGGGCCTGGCCACCGCCTTCGTGATTGAGAACGGACCAACTCCGGAGACAACCTTGCCTCCACCCCCGGCCGATCTACCACAATGCTAGCATCTATAAAGATATAGATTGATGAAAGAAGTTGAAGTTCTCTTAGATGACAGTGCTTTTTTTCTAAAGGGTATAAAAAACTTTGAATTATAATTAAAAAACCATTCAAAGTTTTTATTTTTTTTATTGTAATTAATTAATCTTTTTCATATTTATTTACATCTAATTAAGTTTTATTTGAATAAAAAATTAACAATTTTAATTTTTTTAACAAAAATAAAATTTCATATGATATCAATAAAATAAATAAAAATTTTCTACATTGTGCAATTAATATATATATATATATAAATTAAAAATAAGATATTCATTTTTTCTTTTTCTTTTTATTTTCTCTCCCACTTTCTCTCTAAGATCACTCTAAAATTCAATTAATTGTAATTCAAGAATTGCTTAATTCAATTTTTTTACGTGATTAAACTTTGTTAAATTATAATTTAAGGATTATTAAAACCTTAAATGATTTTAATAAAATTTTAATGACTCAAATTATTATTAAATTATAATTTAAGGAAATTTATGTCCCTTTTAACTTTTTTATTTTTATTTTTCTTTTTATAATTTGAATTTCTTTTTCACTTTCAGTGTTTCTAGTCAAGTTATTCTCGATATAATAATTGAATAATTCATTGTTTATTATTCTTTTGCTATATATCCACACTTAGTTTTTATGGATTGGATAATATTATAATTTATAGCATTTTTATTATAAAAAAATCATAATTTGAAAATAAAAAAAATTAAAATATTAAAATTTAAAGCAAATGAAAATAAAATACTAACAATTTCTTAGTAATATTAATGCAATCGAAATTCTTATCCAAAAAATATTAATGCAATTAAAATTTACACGTATCAAGAGGGGAAACAAATATACGAAATTATTTATAAAATATAAAATTCAAACCAAGAACAAATTTGGCAGCTTCTAAATTCAGATAAGAATTAGAACACATGAAGAATAATTAACCGACAACATTTCATTTGGAAATTAAGTTAAATCCCAACTCCAAAAACTTTTTATTTGGGGGCTCTTTGAAAACTTTTATAAACTTGATACGTAATAATTCATGTCTTAATTTTGTCCTCTCAAACGACAAACGTTAATATTTTTTTTGAAAGTTGAATAGGTGAGTATTTGAGTCCCCATTACAGAAGCTTCTATAACTTAACAACTTATATAAAATCTTTTGTTAATAATTTTCTAATTATGAGGGCTACCCACTGTTTTAATATATATATATATATATATATATGAGATCTATTTGTATTAATATAATTTATATATTTTTTGGACTCTTAGCTAAAAAATAAATTTATAACTCATTGGAATAAAAAATATTTTTAAATTTAATAATTTTGATTTAAGAATCTAAAAAATATAAATGAATCGTTCTTCATATATATATAAATTATTTTACATTTTTTAATAACTTCATGAACAATTAATGCATTTACTAACCAACTGTTAGGTTTAACAAACCACTTGTATTCGTCGTACACATAAAGTTTAAAGTCGATCTCATATCTCTATTATTTCAATCAATAAGAGCATTTTTTTCAATATATATTAACGGTTAAAATTTTATTATTATCAATAATTATTTTTTATTAACTTAAAATTTGGTATGCATGATTCACATGAATAGAATATAAAATTCAACAAGTGAATTAAAATATATATAAGTTATATAAAAAATATGAAATAGTATAAAATTAAAATTTTTTAGCCCCATAATGTAAAGTTAAATTAGTTTTACAAGGGATCCTATTCTCTTTACCCTTTGTTCCGTGCAAAGTGTTTGTTGGTTGGGCTTTTTAATTAGCATCCGGCAACCAGGATTTAGAAATCGCTTAGGCCCTACAGGACACTGATTTGGACCAAAAAATGCTGATCATTGAAAATTTGGGCCAAAATTTGATCTGATGGATTAGATGGGCTACTATACGAGAGACACGAAATAATAATAACGATGGATCTTTCTCCAAAATAAATAAATAAATAATAGCTATCTTTGTATATTTTTATGAATTTAGTAATTATAAATATAACATGAAAATGATATTAAAAATATTAAAATAATATGATTTAAAATTTTAATAAAATTATATATTAATTTGATAAAAATAAAAAATTTATGTTTTATTTTTGATATATCACACAAATTTGATACGATAAAATTTTATATTTTATATATGTTTAAAATATCACGAATGTGATACAATATATGAATTGTTAAATCTGATTTCTTAATCCATTTTTTATTCTTCATGTTATTAACGTTTCTCTTACATGATCGTAAAGCATATACTAAGGAATAAGAAGTACTAATTTATGAATTTGGTATGGTATTTTTATGGATCACCATTTATAACGAATGGAAAACAAATATGATTGTTTAAAGAAATGAAAAGGAAGCAGCAGCTGCCTGCTGCCCACCACACCATATCCCTCATTCAACTCCACTCATATAAACAAACCTCAAATTCCCTCTTCTCTCTAAAAATTCACTAAATTATTCCTCACATCAATTTACATCTCCAAGCAAAGCAATTCTGATGAAACCATTATTGTAAAAGTAACTTTATCACAGGGGAGCTGACGCAGGAGCTAGACCGACCGGTTGACCAGGGGCAGCGCCTGAGCTCAAGAGTTCGACCATGGTACGCCGAGGGTTGGTGCGCTGAGCGTTGCAGAGATCAGGCAAAAACACTCCTGCATGCAAGCAATCATAGATTAATAGGCTTCAACTTTCATTTCTAATTAATGGGGTCTCGAGGAACATTGAGATTTCTTTACCAAACAATATAGATTCCTTAAAAAGGTAAAATGTCACAAGCAAAGCATCATAACAGCAAGTCGACAATCTAATCCGCATCCGACCTGATTTAATCTTATAAAATTGATATAAAATATATATATATATATCAAATTCAAAATTAAATCAAGTCAATTTTAAAAAAAGATGAATTCGAATTTTAAGTAAATTTGTTTTGATTCAATCTTTTATATATATATATATATGTAATATTTTTTGTTATTTGTTTAATTTTAAAAGCATATATATATGTATTTTATATTTTTTATATTTATTTAATTTTATATTTATATTTAAAAATAATATTTTATTAATTTTAAATCAAGTAAGATTGATTATGTTTATATATATATATATATATATATATGGATCAAATTTAAATATAAAAATAATGTTTTAATATTGAGTAGATCAGTATTTATTATATAAAATTGAATTGGGCTTGTGATAAGCAAAAATCCATCTCGATCGCCATCAAAGCACTTTCACATGTAAAAACAAAAGAAATCAGAAAGTGGAAAACATGCTTGAAAAATTGTAAAGGAAGATACATGTTCCCTAAACTACTCTAGATGTGATTAAACTTTTAGTATTAGGTTATCGAAACGTGAAGCTTAAGGAAAGAACTGAGGACAGATTTCATAATCTTCTAGAAATTCATTCATAAAACAGAAAGCGGTGGCAATTGTTACCTTCACCGGCAGCCAAATTGAAGTAAAGGTCAACAATGTTGGGGCAGTTTTGGGAGCAAGCCGGGGCACAAAGCTTGGCAGTCAATTGTGGTTCAAGAAGGGAATCAGATGAAATGCCAATAGAGTTTCTGTCAACCCCACAAGCACGCACACATTCATCAGTCTCAATGTACTCAGCCATCCTCTCCACCACCACCTCCGATGTCCTGCATTGATACTCTACGTTCCCGTCTTTCTCCACCGCTGTCTCCAACAAACATCTCTTCCCGGAAGATGCTATCGAAAACGCACACACACCCTTTGGCAAATCTTCGCAAACAATCTCAGCTGCAAAAAGAAAAACAAACAAAGATATAACATAAATAAAAGATATGTAATTTGATGCATCAAACCATTTGACTTATCAAACAATTACGCACCTAGAGAAGCATGGAGGAAAAGAGAAGAAAGGAAGAGGAAGAAGGGGTATTTCAAAGAAACCATGATTAAATTGATGATCAAGCTAGCTTTTAGGTTTCTGTGAACTGAGATGGAGATTGATGAGCGGTTTATTTATTTTGGTACATATAGAAGAAGAAATGTGAACGATCAAACAATTAAGACGCGTTTGGGCGTTTACCAGTCTCTCCTTCGAATTTCTCGAGTCTTTAGTTTTAATTTTCCTTTACGCCATTTTCAAAGCTTTTTTTTCATTTCTTTAATAAGTTTTGGAGTCGATTCTTTGTTGGATACGTGGTTTCCTTGTTTGATACCTAGTTAAGGACGTGTTTGTTTGTCTGTATGCTCCAGTTTTCCAAATTTCAACCCCAAGAATTTTCTAGTTCCACTCCATTTTTTTTGTTTCTAGACTTTTAATGTTTGAAACTTTGAACAACTTGGCTTAGCTTATTCGGCCCTTCTCCATTGTCTCAATGCCTAACTTTCAAATACTATATTCTCTTTCTTTTGAAGTTCTTGCCAATCAAAAACGAAATTTTGAAAATTTTCCCACAAGATCAGTTTTCGATGCGTGTTAAGATGTTTATTGTGTCAGGATTACGTTTTATGATTGAATTTTAACGAAATTAAAGTATCCAATTGAGATTTAATATACACATATTTCCATTTTGATTTTCAGGATCATTGACTAATTTGTTAATTTCTGTTGTCATTCATAATTATGAAGGTATTGACCTATATTTGCTAATTTTTGGAACAATTTCCATTTTAAAAAAAAAAGGAGAGACATGAAAGCCGAAAAGCCATTAAATACTGGGACAATTGATGGGTCAACCCTTTTTAATTTGGTTCAAAGTCATCTATTTTTCTTTAGACTCTGTTGGTTTTCTTGTTCACATCGAGAAGCTCGGCTGGTTCGGCCATCTGTCAACTTTGCTGTGCTGACAGTGAACGTGAAAGGGAAATTCATAAACATTAGTCATTTGGCCTTCATGGAAAATTAGGGGTGGCACCCACCTGAATTAAAAAGCAAAGAAGTTTCATTTTGTTCCTCAGTTTTGGTGTCTCTGCTACGCGAGAATATGACCAGGGTTTTGAAAGCTTTCAAGGAAATTCTAGGAATAATGTTGCATTTGCCAACGTCATCTAAAATGACAAATGATCTTCATTCTTTTTACTTTTTACACCATGGACTATGATGATGATGATGTTTTCGTCTTGGTCTCCAAGGATGTATTAGGTTCTAAAACTCCAATTCCTAAGAACTTGCAGCGCATCAGTGAAAGGTGGAGACTGATATTGATAACCAAGGAGGAATAAAGTTAACAAAGTTGGCTCAAATAATTAAGAATAAAAGAATGAGGGATCTAATTCAACTTAAACAAATATTATCTCTCACTATTAAAAAGATATAATAAAATATGAACAACTCAAGTCCCAATGAAAACCGGATCATCACATGTTCACCATGTTTTGGATTTTTATCAGACCAAAGCATCAGTTTATTTCCCACAAGATGGCCTTACAAAACCAAGTTTTTCCTCGGGGATTGAGCTAATTTAACCAAGCCCTAACCCAAGAAGTTTTGGACTGAATTGCAATGGTTGGACTTCCACGAAAGTGTATACAGCCCATATTGGGGCCTACTTGGTTTGGCTCTTGTAAATTATAAGCATCCCAGGCTCGTCCCGTTGGAGGCATCAAGTTAAATGAACCATGATCACAAAACTGGATGCGTAAAGGGTGATAAGTGGGTCCCAAATTAACAGAAATTGTTTTTGCAACCTCACAATCCCAGCTTCGGCGTCCACATTGCAATCCTAGTCCGCACTGCTAGGCTGCTCTGACAGGAAAGAAAATAACAGATATCAACAAGAACAAAAGAAGAAGTAAACAACAAAGCAGAAAACCAAAATTATGGTTGCAGTAGCAGCAGCCTTAGTAACGACATCATCTCAACTACTGTTATCAAGCTCCCGTTCTTTGTCTCGTCTGTCTCCTTTTCAGTTATGCGTCTTTGATTCCAAAACCCTTGTCTCATACCCCAGCAATAGCAGTAACACTATCAAGAGAAGGCATGTTGCTGCCGGGGTTTGGTGCATGGGTGTGGGGACAGCATCCCAGGCAAAAACGAAGAAAATTGGGTTTGAAATTCAGACACTAACAAGTTGGTTGTTGACGCAGGAACAAGGGGGTGTTATTGATGCAGAGCTCACTATTGTGATTTCCAGTATTTCTATGGCATGTAAGCAGATTGCTTCTTTGGTGCAAAGGGCTAGCATTTCCAGCTTGACTGGTGTTCAGGGCGCTGTCAACGTGCAAGGAGAGGATCAGAAGAGGCTTGACGTCGTCTCAAATGAGGTCCTGTTATCAAATACTATCAACCATGAATTCAGTTTCTATGAATTATATTTTGCAATTAAACAACATGGACATTCTCAAAACTTGTGTCAGTTCTTAATATAGTTGTCAATTGGTTGTATATCATTCATTAAACAGTTCAATTCCGGAGACTGGACACTTTGACAGTTCTCACTTTAAATACCATAGCAGCCCTGCTGTTTTGGCTATCTACACGTTATGTTTTATAAAAAATGGCTTTCAGAAATTTATGACTGAAGAATTATTGAAATTGGCATTACTTTTGCTTCGGCCATTTGGCAGAAATAGGCAATAGTTGTTTGAGGATAAGATTTCTTTGCTACCAGGCGAAATCCAAGAAACTGATTAATTGTTTTGCACGTACAGGTATTTTCCAACTGCTTGAGATCAAGTGGAAGGACAGGGATTATAGCATCAGAAGAAGAAGATGTGCCAGTGGCAGTAGAAGAGAGTTACTCTGGAAACTATATTGTGGTATTTGACCCACTTGAGGGATCATCCAACATTGATGCTGCTGTATCCACAGGTTCTATTTTTGGAATATATAGCCCAATGATGAATGCCTGGCAGATATCGGTGACGATTCCACCGTAAGTGCCCCATATCTAGTACTTCATTGAATTTCTAACACATGCAAATCTCAAATAATTTTACCTAGAAAATCCTAATTGTTTCATGCATGGCCTGCAGCTTGATTCATCTGAACAAAGATGTGTTGTGAACGTGTGCCAACCAGGGAGTAATCTACTAGCTTCAGGCTACTGCATGTACTCGAGCTCTATAATCTTCGTGCTCACATTAGGAAAGGGGGTATTCGCATTCACCTTGGATCCCATGTATGGTGAATTCGTGTTAACTCAAGAGAACATTCAGATTCCTAAAGCTGGAAAAATATATGCATTCAATGAAGGAAATTACCAGTTGTGGGATGACAAGTTGAAGAAGTACATTGATGACCTCAAAGACCCTGGTCCTAGTGGCAAGCCTTATTCTGCTAGATACATTGGAAGCTTGGTTGGAGACTTCCACCGGACACTGCTATATGGTGGAATCTATGGTTACCCCAGAGACAAAAAGAGCAAAAATGGCAAGCTGAGGCTCTTGTATGAGTGTGCACCAATGAGCTTTATTGTGGAACAAGCTGGTCGGAAAGGATCTGACGGACATCAAAGAATCGTTAATATCCAACCTGTTGAGGTGAGAAACATTTAACTACTAACTAGTTTGTGATTTCCTTTTCTTGCCGGTAATTATAATAATCAGTGTTCTGTTTTTGTGTTCTTCTAACAGATACATCAACGTGTACCAGTTTATATTGGAAGCCAAGAAGAGGTAGAAAAATTGGACAAATACTTGGCTTGAATAAGATGCAAAATCAAAGATACTATTTTTGTTTATGGAAACAAGGAAATACATTAAATTGCAATTCAAGATGAAGATAAAGTTATCCTTATTCTGTAAATTTTGGGGAAATCTTTGATTGGCGGCACAGCAGAAAGGTCACTGAATTAAGTAACTATCTTTACATTTTAATCAATCAATATTCATTGAACCAAAATTACTAAAAACTTGTTTGAAATGGCTAATGCCTTTAATCAAGAAGTGGTTTGTCCATCTCATTTGAGGCCCTACTCCGTCGAAGAAAAACTAATGGCACCATTTACAGCTTAGTTTATAGCAGAACAATTCTGTTGCTCCAGAGAACTCCTTCGATCTTTTGCTGCAAATCCAGGAAAAGAGTGTTTTACCAGGAAAACAATTCTGTCGCTACCTCGGGTCCTTCAACCATATCTCCAAGGATAGAGGTCAATGCTTGATAATGGAAAAAATTATAAATATTGTAAGAATTTATGGTTTAAACTAAAGATATATATAATCTGATAGAAGATAAAATAGGCAATAACAACAGAGGCTCCAAGAAATCAACAAAAAAGAATAAAAAGAAAAAAAATGAAGCAGGGGCTTCTTCTATGGAGTCCTTGCCATCTCTCTCCACCATCTTTCCACTCGCTTTCCATCAAAATTTCAACAGCCAAACAAACCCCTCAACTCCCACCAATCTCTGCGTCTCTTGATTCGACCAACACCCAAGTCCAACAGCAGCAGTTATCAGCGAGGGAGAAAAGGCAGCTAAGAAACGAAAGAAGAGAGAGCAAAGCAGGGTATAATTGGCGAGAAGAAGTTGAAGAGAGGCTCATAAAAAAACCCAAGAAGAGATACGCTTCTAGGTCCGAGGAACTCAATCTTGATAACTTGGCGCACTTGGGTCCTCAGTGGTGGGTCGTTCGAGTCTCCAGGGTTAGAGGTCTCGAGACAGCTGAGATCATGGCTCGCTTACTCGCTAGGAACTTCCCGGACTTCGATTTCAAGGTACAAATGCAGTTTAGGTTGTTGTCATTTTAATTTGTCGACTGCTAAAACATAAAATGCATTGTTTTGTTGTTTATATGTAGCATTTTAATCTTATATTGGGATTCATTGGAGGATTTAACTGAATTGTAATTGGGAGAACATGTTAATGATTCATCTTAAATTTTTGTTTGTGCTAAACATTGCTAAGAGGCTGAGACATACTATAGGCTTGGACTTGGTCTAGCCATTGTTACCCTTTTGCAGGAGCCTTGGGATCCAATGTTTGAAGCACCCTTTCCCAAACTTCCTTGTATGTAAAACTAAAGATTTTCCTAAGACATTTTAGGCATTATTGTTTTAAGATATTATGATTATAAGATATTAGAGTAGAAAGGATCAAGAAATTGATACATATATAATATATACTTACATTGATTAGTGTTTTTTTTTTTTGGTCTTCAGATGTATACTCCAGCTGTTCAGGAGAAGAAGAGATTAAAAAGTGGTTCTATATCAATTAAACCAAAGCCCTTATTTCCAGGGTGTGTTTTCTTAAGATGTGTATTGAACAAAGAGATTCATGACTTCATAAGAGAATGCGACGGTGTTGGTGGTTTTGTTGGTTTCAAGGTTGGAAATACGTGAGTGTTACTTTTTGTTCTTGATGAAAATTGATAAATTTGCTAGAACCATATGTCACAAATCATAAGGTAGATTGTTATGCACCTTTGCGTAGCATGAAGATGGTAACATCTGATATTTTCTTCTACTTGAGTTTAGACAAAATATGGGATTTCTTAAGAAATTTTAAAAAGATAGTTATGATTTTTGTGATTCAAATTACCTCAAGCTAATTGAAATTGTTGGTTTCATGATTCTTTTGTGTTTTGTTTGGAGGCATGTAAGATTTCAAAGGTATTGAAATTGTAAAGATGGTGCACTAAGACCTGAACGAAGAAAACTCAAGGGAAATTATATACATTAATACATATTTTACAAAACTAATACTAAATTCTTAGCATTTTTTTGGATATTCTTTGATTTTCAGTTTTCAGTTAGTATATTAAGTGTTTGTACATGGTTTGCAGAAAAAGACAAATAAACAAACCTAGGCCAGTGTCCGTTGATGACATAGAGGCAATCTTCAGGCGGGCCAAAGAAGAACAAGAAAAAGCCGATCAAGCATTTCAGGAGGAACAGCAAGGAGAAAAAACCCTCATGTCTGATAAGCTGAATATAGAATATAATTTAGATTCCAATGGTGTTACAACATCCATTTTGGATTCTAAGCAAAAACGACAATCTAGAAAGCATTCTAATACTGTAGCAAATGGAGCAAAGGATATGAAGCTACTTGTCCCAGGTTCAATGGTTCGAGTTTTATCCGGGACTTTTGCAGAATTTGTAGGCAGCCTTAAGAAATTGAACCGCAAAACTGGAAAGGTATGACATTCATAGGGGTGAACAAGTGGTTACTAAGTCATACATGAGCTAATGTGCTTGCATGCTTTTTGAAAGAATCTTGAAACCAATTTATAGCCTTAAAAAATCTAAAATGTCCTTTCTGCAGATGATGGTGGATACTTGTGTTTTTATCTATCAAATTAGAATTTGAATTGAGAACATGTTTTCTTGCAGGCAACTGTGGGATTTACACTATTTGGGAAAGAAAGCTTAGTAGAGCTAGATGTCAAGGATATTGTTCTGGAAACAAAGTGATATGAATGTGCTCTCCTGATAATCATTATGGTTAAAAAGAGTAAGTTAATTGAGCTCATGACCTTTTGCTATCCATTCTGTGGGTATCTTTTCTTCCACATGGAGTGTAGATTGTGGCATAAGTCATAAAATACACCTCATCGTTGCTTGTAAGCTTTTGTAGATCATTCTGTTAGTTGCTTGCCGTATCGATTGTACCTTGCCATTGGGTAATCAGAATTTTTCTGAATTTGTATAACCTGTCAAGTCATTATCCTTTCATATATCACATTCATATTCGCCCTCAAGGATGTATACATTTTTTGCATACAAAGTACACATTCATAATTAGCCAAGTAAATTTGAAGAATATTTTTCCGTTTTGAATATATTTTAAAAGTTTATACGTTGCAAGTCTGTCAAAAACTTTGTAGGTTAATACAATGTATATTTTGAGGAGGCAACTGGATAAAACTAGAGATTCATGATGTTAACCTCTGTCTGATGTGTATAGAACTGTGTGTGCTTGTATGTGCATGTGTCTGAAGGTGATGCTCTGCCTATTTTTATTTCCCGGCTGATAGTTGATTTGCTCGGGCTGAAGCTTGGCTATTGTAAGCTTTGTTACCTTGGAGTTATGTATCTTCACTTGTGAATCCTCATAAAACTGGTTCACATTCTCGAGTTGTCCCCTTAATCATACTTCCTTTGTTGATGTGATATCGTAATTTTGATTTTGCCAGTTAAGTAGCTAAGGGTTAATGGGCAGGCACCTTTGGAAGTTGGATTTGACAGCTCTCATGGAGTGAATTGATTGCCGTCTTTGAAATTGATTTGGACAATAGCAAGAACATCATCTCACGCTCTTTGTTAAAGTCAGCAAATTAATTAACCCTTTGTTTTTTACCCTTCCTTTTTCCATCAAAGCCTGAGGCTTAATATGTGGTTGAGGACAGCCATAACATTCTTTTTTTTCCTTTTTTTTTGCTTTGATTGGGTCTTGAGCTATGGATTAAAGGTAGCTCTTCCCCATATCATAACTGTCCCTCGCCCCTTCCCTGTACTTTGCTAGCCACAGCACTGTGTGCTGATAACAGGAACTTGCGTCTTATTCTTCTTCTTTTTTTTTTTCCCTTTTTGAGGAGGCTTACAGGAACTTGCTTAAAAAACAAACAATACTTCAAATTTTAACTTGAGGAGCAGTTTGATTGACATAGCTGCCCCTTACTATTGAAGTATGGTTAAATCAAATTCACATTGATGATACTCGCATTAAATTATTTAATTTGTAGTCTAATGTTTATTAAGAAATTGGTTACCTTATGTCCTTACATGGTTTTAACTTTTAGCTTTGTTCTCTCTCTCTTTCTCTGTCATAGTTTCTTAAAATTGATAGTATATACGTAATTTATATGTTATTTTTCACCTGACAATTCAATGATCCTTAGAAAATGAGGGGTAGTTGAAATGGAATCCAGTTGTTAAAGCCACTAATGTGGAAGTTTATGTTGCATGGTCTGTCTTGGATTAAGGGTGGTCCTCTAATGCTCTATTTCTGAGAAATGTATAGACTTTAGCGATTTTAAATGCGCCAGCTTCTTCCATATGATCCGTCCCCTCTTCTTAAATATAATCTGTCCCCGATCTAGACTGAAAAACCATGCTACCTTTTACACTGTAGTTGGTTTCCACTTGATGCACATCTTTATTTTCTTCATTCAGCTTCTTCTTTGTCTCTCTGTCACGCTCTGATTGATTGCCAGAACATTATCAAAGCACACTTCAACCACTTTCCTCCTAGCATATGGTAAAACCTAGCTCTTTCTTGGAGAAGTTATTGCTTGTTAATCTATGATTTGATCTGCTGTCTCTAAAGAGACTCGCATATCTGCTCGGATAATAACCATTTTTGGCTTAATCTAAGAAATAGATGTTGGCCTGGAAAATACAAGCTAACCTTACGTTTTTTGTGTCCTGGATTCATTTGTTGATTTCTTTGATCTAATGACAGCCTCAGAAACAGAGTAAAGATCTCAGGAAAACCAACCAAACCTGATAGGGTTGAAACTTGAAAATCAATCTTAATAGCAAAGAGACAATACTGGTCACAAGATTCGCCCCTCAAAAGCCAGTGGTCCCCTAACATGTTTCAAATTTGATGTGCTTGTGGTTCTAAACTTTGTCTCGTTGTGCGTGGGGAGTAGGGTTTCAAAAGAAGTTCACATCATACAAGTTACCTTGCTCGATTATTTACAGTTGGTCAATTCTATCTGCCACTATACTATAATCAATTTAGAAGCTTAATCAATGCAAAGGTTATTGTCTTAAATTTGTCATCATTCAGATTTAACAACGCCTTACGGCCTGAGGGCCCTAAGCCAGCAAAAAATCTGCAGATTCTTCTCTTCCAGGCTCACGAATCAAACCACCCCGGAGTAAATATAACAACCAGTCATTGATGAAGGGTTCTTTTAAAGTCACCAACCCTTTGTTCACAATCTTATCCAAACCTTTGCGACAGACAAGGGTCAATTCGAAGACTCGAAGCTTCCTTAATGTTTCAAACACACTAGAATTTAGTTTGAATCATTTTTATAAAGACTTATCCGTTGCTTTACCAACAAGATAAGAGCACGCCTACATTGGTTTTTTCCTGGAAAAAGCTTAGCTTGCTAAAGTGCGCAGGCCAGGCAGACAGGAACGTTGCACAACAACCTTGGGTGGGTTCATCAACACCCAACCCAAGAATCAATGATTTTTTGTGAATAGGAATGTAAATATACAAAACATGGGGTACATTTGAGAATTTAGAAAAAGTACAAGTGCAAAACTGAAAAATGTCCATTATAATATTACCCGGTGGACAAAAATTTGAAGAGAAAGTGGATAAAAAAAAACTTGAAGAAAGAAGCAAAATTATTTAATTTTCGCAAGCCAAGCCAACCCCGCAGTTCTTTACTTTCTTTACTGTGATTCTTCACCCAAGACCCTAAAAAAATTAGGGAAAAGAAATCACCTAGTTGTAAATGGAATAATCACCCAGCAAATCTTAGTAGACCAACTAAAAGAAAATTCCAAACTTTAGATTCAGCTCTAACCCCCTTCAGCAATGGCCTCATTCTCCATTTTCAACTACTTCACAGCCCTAACTTTTCTTATTTTCCTCTTCAAAATCCTAGCTGCAGACCAAAGTTTCTCTTTTTCCTTCAAAAGTTTTGCTAAAGATCCAAATTTTGAGTCCAATATTGCTTTATATGGGGATGCGCATGTTGCTAATGATGGTTCTTGGATTCAACTTACTAACTCAGTGAGTTGGAGTGCTGGGAGAGTTATGCATAAGAAACCCATCATGCTTGTTGAAGGTAAAGCCAGGAATTTTGCTTCCTTTTCAACTTACTTTTCCTTTTCAATGTCCCATGAAAATGGTGATGGTTTGGCTTTCGTTATGGTTCCTGGTAGTTTTGTTGCTAATGTATTGCGCAATAGTTCGTTTGGGATTTCTTTTGGATTGGATAAAAGTAAAAGTGATGTTGTTTCTGTAGAATTTGATACCTTCAAAGATGCCAAGTATGGTGATTTGAATGAAAATCATTTGGGCATTGATGTGGGTAGTCTTGTGTCAGTTAAAGTGAGAAATCTATCCTCTGTCAATTTGGTATTGAACAACGGAGAAAAATTACATTCTTGGATTGATTATGAGGCAAGTTCAAAGAGACTAGAGATTAGGTTGAGACAATCTAGCAGTACTAGACCCGATGATCCATTACTTTCATACTCAATCGACTTGTCAAAACAATGGAATGATGAGGAAGTGTTTGTGGGCTTCAGCTCTTCAAATGGGAACTCTTCGCAGACCTGTTTTATTTACTTGTGGAGTTTTAACCTAAGACCGGTTCCAAATTGGATGCATTCTGAACCAGTTGATCCTAAGGCTATTGCAAAGAACACCAAATCTCTGACAACAGCGCACAAGAGTAGCAATTGTTTTTGGAAAGTGCTTGCTTTGTTCATCTTCGGTGGTGCATGTGGAGCCTTGACAACTTCTTGTGTTCTATACATATGGACCATCCTTGGTAATAGGCGCCCAGTAGTGCCTGAAGAGTGTGGTGTGCACCCTGTTGATTTTGAGTACAAAAAGGTCAAAGTAGTAGTAGACAAAGCTGTCAAAGACAGCAAGAAATAGACGTTAGAGTTTGGGTTCTGTTGGATGTTTTATGTTGTAAATTGATGATCTTTTTGTAATTGTAGTTGTAGGTTTTGTGTGTGCTTGTAGCTGATGACCAATTGTGAAAAATGTAGCTCTCTGTTACATAGTGTTTAATGTTGGAAGCATTGAGATTTACCTTTAATAGAAATTGCATTATTGCTTGTGGTAACCTTAGTTGTACATAATTCCTGACTATGGTCTTTGTGTAAGAAATCTATAACTCTGACCTGATTTGAGGATAAATGCATGAATTAAGGTCTTTGCAGGGACACACTACAAGTCTATCTTGTGGTTTTGGCCATCATGCTCAGTGCGGTAGGCTGTCTTATGTATGCACCTTGTTTTGTATCGTTAAGTGATGGATGAATTGATTTCACGTTTAATATAATTTGCTATGTTTTGGCTATCAAGGCATAAATGTCTTTTTGCCAGGTACTGACAACAGCTTCACTCCGTACTCCTTGGACTTTGCCTGCTTTCAGAACTAATGAGATTATGATACCAGTCGAGTGAGTGCTCAACTATGTGGCTTTTGTGAAGGTGGTTAGCTTACCATGTTTGTTTAGCTGTTCTTTTTCTCATAATCATTAGTCTTGACAGGTCGTGTTACTCATCACAAATTAAATATATGAATATATATTTTGAACTTTCGTATGGATTTCAATTCTGCTACTTTTTATCTCTACCTAATAATGGCACAGAAAGAAATGTTGCCAAAGTATTAGGATTTATTATCTACTATTGTTATTCGAGGGAGTTCGCTTCCATCTTTTGTTAAGGTACTAGCTGCTGGTAAGAATAAAAATGGAATATGCAAACATGCATGGAAATTTGGTAACATTTGGGAAACAATCTCTATTATGTACCATTTCAGATATTACATCCGAATTCCTAAGAGGGTAATTTGGCAAATGCATTTTTTTTACAACCAAATTATTGAAAGAATAATGAATAAGTCAATGCTGTGATTCCACTGAGACGTATGATCAGTTTGTGCGTGTATAACTAACCTAATTTGCCTCAGAATTATACATCATCTTCTCTGCTTACCAAGTTGCTGGTTGGGTCCTCTAACAAAACTGAAACTGGTATCATATAATTCAGCTGAGATCGAATCGCATGAGAGATCTGAAACCGTAAGATTTCTCAGCCGTGTAGGTGGCTGCTGCAAGTCTCCCTACCAGGGGGAAAGCACCTTAATTCAAGAATCCCTATCAGCCATCCTGCAAAGGGCAGTGTATAATTCAACTGACAATCCACCAACTAATATGCTATCTTTGATCTGAACTTCTGGTCAAGCTTCAGGCTGCTAATTTGCTGCTCCCAAGAACTGCTACAGATGCACCCAGGAAGGGGATTTGCATAAAAATTCTCCTCTAGTCGTGGTGACTCTCCTGGCTGTCTTAGGTACGGTGCTCCAAGCCTATCAGAGTGTAAACTCTTTACTTCCGAAGAAAACTGTTCCCAAGATATTACACCCTCATCCAGCTGATCAATGAGTTTGACAAAATTTTGTCTGAAATAAAAGAGATTATGTCAGTACAGTGGTCTTAATATCCCTGGTTCAAGAAATATTCTGCATGTATCAATCTAATACCCTAATTTGAACAGACCTGTCAGGGTTGATGGTCTTTCGAAATCCTTCAAACTTTCTGTGCCCCTGTACTGCTTTGGCCATATTCCCATCATAGGTATAAACAAAGACGTCGCTTTCAAGTGCCACAATATAATCCAAGGCAGCAAGGCGATTCTGATATGGCTTGAACAGTTCCAGCTCTTCTTCAGTTGCTAAAGTAGAATGAGAGAAGACATTTGGATACTCTGATCGGAAGGCTGCCATGCTATTGCTGCCATAAATCTCTCCTGCGACAATGTAGATAGGCGTGCTGGATGGGTAATCCATGGCCTTGAGGAACACGGCTGCCTCTCTAGGGGTCATTGGACATCCCCCTTGACTTCGCCGCTCTTCACTATCTATCTCTTTCTCCTTCCAATGTCTAACATTGTATCTCATAACTGTGAGTTCATCACCCTCTTCTGCAGTAAGGTTATGGATGCAGCCTGTGAATGCAAGCATATCCTTCTCATACCTGCAATTAAGATTAGCCTATTTTTCTCAGAGACTTCGTAAGGAGAAATTCTACTAGATGCCAGTAATGATGGTAGGTAGTAGGTACCTTAAGTGTAAAGCAATGTATGGCTCATTATTGTTCTTTAGTCTATCAACTAATGTCCTCCCAAGATCCTGTATCTCTTTCGTATAGCGGAGAGCCTCATAATTGGCACGGCACCGTAGTCTTTGAATGGAGGTTGCGAGGCCATTATTAGCAAGCCTTGAATCACTGTGCGTGAACTTGATCACCTTATGTCGCTTTAGTAATGGGAGCACCTCCCTTCTGTAGTAACTAGCCTGCAAAAGAAGCATCTAAGACACCATTCCAGTAACAGTAAATCAAATGAAGTATCATCACGCATTTGACAAATTTCAGTCATTTCCATACCTTTGACCAGGAAACAGGGGCCTTTACAAGGGGCTTTATTGCTGTGTACTTAACGGGTAGATACTCAACAATTTCAATATCATCCTTCAATACATTGATGAAGTGCCTCCAGTCAAAAATATCCTTAAAATCACTGTAAAAAATGTATTAAAAAATTAACTTTTTGAAGCTTGCAAAGAAGAAAACTGATATCAAACAACTACAGTGATTAATGTTACCTTGGGTCTGTCCAAAATGACTCATGATCAAGAGAAGGAAGAACGAGGGTGGCATTCATTATCTTGGCAACAGCAACCATATCACATATCTGTAAGTCAATACGATTAGCTTGGAGAAAAGATTAAAAGGTTAAAAAAAAAAACAAAGGTCAAGCCAAGTCCAGCCAAGAGTCAAACTTACTCCTGTTCTCATTTGATTCAGTCCACCATTGGCATAAACCATAATATAACCATTAGTCTTTGATCCGGTCCCTGAAGTCAGTTCAGAATATTATTGATAAAAATCACCTACAAATCTCTCTTTTTTTTAATAGATGGAAATGCTTAACAAGTTGAGAAAGGAACATGACATACTTATTGGATTCTTGGGTCGAGATATACATTGCTTATAATTGTCACTGTTTGGTTTCATCCAAATTTCTGGGCTCTGTAGATAAGGCAAGTAAAATTAAACACGTAAGTCTAATGAACAATAGAAAAAGAATACCCTAGCTAAACCAACAAATAAAATTACTTCATTTACTATTACACCAAACAAAAAACAGGTAAGAATTTTCTAAGAGATGTAGAATTCCAGAGATGGAAGTCCAAAGGAAATTGCAAATAATGTTCATGTGCATGCGCAAGGAAAAGCCAACCAATTACATAACAGCCAACTCAACAAATGGTCATGATAAAGTAACCCAAAAACGGTGGAAAGTCGCTGTTTGGTCAGAGCCACCACTCCTCGATAAAATTCAATGCCAAAAAAAAAAAAAAAATTTCATCGACCGTTAAAAATTCATCACAAAATAATTAAAAAAAAAAAAACCAAAACAAGATAAACTTACGGAGACCCTTTCAAGAACGCGTTTGGGCATGGAGCGTTCAATTCGGGACTCGACATGGGTCTCGGTGACAACGCGTTGGGCCAAGGTCCAATCCTCTTTAAACGTCTGCAAGATCACAAGTCCGTTTTCTCTTTTCCATTTGCCGTTAACCTCGACGTGGCTACTAAGAATCGAGACTTTGAGAAAAAACGAAACAACCGCCACAAACAACAGAACTCCAAGGATCTTACGGCCCATGTTCCTGCAGGATATCAAACTCTGAGCCATAGTAACAGCCTGATGACACGTGTCGTCAATCCAGATGAACGACGTATCGGGCACCCAAGAGAATAACTTCCTGCGAAGCAGCAGATACCTGATCACGGGGTGGTCGTGCAAACAATGGGACCCGCAGGAGGGAATGTACCCGTTGGGGTTGGAGGCGAGGGTGTAATAGTCCGAACAAGAAGATGAACTGTTGATGTCAGACTCTACTGTCGGAAGATCTGCCACGCGTCGTCTTGTAGTGGTGGATCCACCATGTATTGGGCTTCCGCTTGCCGAGTTGTTTGCACCTCCCGACGACATCGTATTGCGGCAGCTTAAAACAATGAAGAATAAGAAGAAGAAGAAGAAACAACTCGACTCGACGGAAAGGAATAGAAAATAATAAAAAAGAAGAGACGGTGAGGAAAAGGAGGGAACAGAGGGTTCCGAAATGTAAGGCAGAAGCAGAGGTGTGAAATTTTTTCTCTTTTTATAGGTGTTTGCCGCACTTTCTATCTCTAGATTTTATGTTTTGGTTTCTCTGTGTTTTTTTTTTTTTTTTTTTTTCTCTCAGTTTATAAAGCATGACGATTGTCGATTGGGAAATGGGGACATGTTTTTATGGGGATGTTTTTTTTCGTCCGAAGCATGGTCGGTTCGGTTTTCTTTTTTTCAATCATTGTTACGTTGAGTTATTTGGTTGAACTTAGCAAAATGTCCTCCATTTTATCATTTTTAGAAGGATTTTTATTTCTTGCATATAAACGTTCATTTGAATATGCTGATTTTAATAACATTGAAAATAATAATGATTGTAAGATCAATTTTTGTAATAATAAAAATATATGTTTTGATGTAAATACGATAACAATAAAATAAATTATAATAAAAATAATAATCATTAAAAATCCTATGCATATTATTGAATATTAAAATAATAATTAAAATTATTTGAAATTTAATATATAGTATTTATAATAATTACAAATGATATTTAAATAAATTAATTTTAAACATATATAAAATAACAAAATAAACATATTTAAATTAAAAAATTATGTTAGAATGCTTTAGAAAAAAAAAAGTACAACGGGGATTATGATTCAAAAGTTTCCACTGGATCCTAAGATTTCCCATTAATCTTGGAATATGCGATATAAAACTAGAGAAATAGAGACATTACATATTTTATCCAAATGAAATTACAATGCAATTTAAGGACAAAAACGTGTCAAATTGCATTGCATTGATGTAGCTGCCTATTCCAAAGGGGCCTAAACATATTGGATGGCCATTTTTTTTTATTGTATATTACTCCATCCGTCCAATTATATTTTTTTCTTTACTAATTTCTTTTACTAAAAATAAATTTCCAATTTCTTTTCTTTTTCTAAAATTAAGGTGAATGAATGCCAAAAGAAAAAAAATCATGCAATTTGAGAAAATTTTGCCAAATTTAATCCTCCAATAAAGAGAAGAGAAAAAAAAAAAAAACCCTTAGATGGTGAAAAATAAACAAACAAAAAGAGGGTCCAAATACTTCAAAGTGAAGTCCAAGCTATTCTCTAAAAAGAACATGCAAAAAGAGGAATTTAAATAAAAAAAAAAAAAGAAGATTCTTTTTATCAAACCATCAAAAGGTCTGAAAAAATTATTGCTTTGACAACAAATTTAGGATCACTTTGCAAAGGTAGAGTCAACTTTACTATATTGTAAAAGAAAGCCTTTCTCAAGTACAATGAAAAAATGTTTACATGTTCACATTATTCTTTTGGAAATTTTTTTTAAGATAATCCTTTTGGAAAGTTAATACTCTAACAAGATCTTTTTTTTTTTATTGGAGAATTTAAGTAATATTTTCTTCATTTTTTCACTTTTAATCAAATTAATCTAATTTAACACTTAAAAAATAAAAACCCATCAAAATATTATAACAAAAATCCTTTTGATAATATGATTTAATTAATTAATTAATGCTTTTGACACCATATGCTTTATCTTATTTTGTGCCAAACCATGTTAAAATATCATAATACACTTTGTTGAATCCCTAAGCAATAATTTAATTTTTCTAAACCGAAACTTAATTAATTTATACAATCACCTTAAAGAAATGACAACATCTAATAAATTTGATATTTAAATTATAACATTTACAATACATTCTTTTATTTTAATATTGCGATATCTTATATAAATCTTTTTTTCAAATTATTATTAATCATTAATTTTTTTTTTGTTTTTCTATTATTTTTTTGTTCGAGTTTAAGAAACTAATTTGGAACTTAAACAATTATATTTAATAAGTTTAAATTTTAAAATTTAACATTTATAATATATTCTCTTCTTTTTATATTCCATATTTTTTGTACTAAAATGTTTTTTTTTTAAATTATTATGAATCATTTAATTCTCTTTCCATTTTTTTTTTCGAACTCAACGAACTAAATTTCAAAAAAGTTAATTTGTTAATGTGAACAATGAAACTAAACTATCTCCGTACTACCAACTTGGGTCCCTAAAACTTACAATTTGTCAACCTAATTAGAAGAAGTAATCTCAGATTAACAAGCAACTAAACATCACCATGTGAAAACAATTGCAGATAGAGACAGTGACGTCGGTTTCGACGGTGACTTTTTTTTTGTCTTTTAGCATAAACTGACAAAGCAAGCCAACAGTCCCATGTATGTAAAAAACTCTTGTTTTGGTACACTCGTGCTGGTAAGTACTCTAGCATCTATGAGTTGAATTTTTCATCTTTTCAAATTTTGTGATGTTTCATCATTTTCGCCGTGGAAATAGGGAAGTCAAAAACTCCCGAAATCGTTCGGTTTCGATTCGATTCGATCATTTATGATTAATTTTTTTAATTTTTAAAAATTAAGTATTAGATAGGGTAAGATTAGATAGGATAAAAAATTTTCGGGTTCAGGTCAGGTTTTAGACAAATCTAACCTTATCCGACCCGATATATATAAAAAAATTATTTTTTTTAAATTTATATTTAATTTTATATTTATATTTAAAATAATATTTTATTAATTTCGAGTCGAGTTAGGTCAAATTTGATTTTATACAATGTCGAATCGAGTCAGATTCAGGTATTAAAAATAAAAAAATTTGTCGGGTCAAGTACATGTTCGGGTATTATATATTTAAAATCTGGTCGAGTTCGGGGCGAACAAAAACCTGACCCGTCCCGACCCGTTGCCATCATTACGTGCAAAGGGAATGTCTTTGTACAGAACTTGATATTAACGCCCAAATCAAGTGGCTTATACGTCGAATTCTTGTAGATTTAGTTTAAATTAGATTTGATAATTTATATATTTATATTATATAAAATATTAATAATTTATATATTTATTTTATATTTTATATAAAAATTTATGTATTATTATTTATATTAATAAAAAAATATAAAATATTTTTTATTTTATTAATTTTATTTATACTTTTTTTATAAAATTTTAAATTATATATTTTTATATTTTTATTCATATTATTTTTATATCGTATCATAGTATTATGTTTAAGATTATCAAATCTGATTAAAATGTTGATTAGACAATTAAACTTATTAATATCATTTTTATTTTTTTATGTATAAAATAAGTATTATTTATTATTAAACTTAAATATTCAAGTGCATATCATTAATATTATTAAAAGTTTTATATGCGTTTTGCTTTTAATACTATTTTTCATTAGTACTCGTAAGTAATGAATTTTAATATTATATTTTTATAATATTTATAATCTAACAATAAAAAATTTGATTTAATTTTTTCCCAAAAAACAAACTCCCCTAGATGAATTATCTTGAAAATATACTAATTGCAAAGGGCAATTTGGGAACTCAATGTAAAAAATTCGTACCGAAATGACGGTCTCGGTTCTTTGAAACTCTAAAAATCCCACACACTGCATTTATTTTACAAAATCTACTTTTAAAAGTGGAAAAGACACGTGGCACTTTTCTCACTCTTTGCGTCTTTCATAGTACGATCTTTTCGTCGGGCCACTGATTGTGTTTCATCATCTTCTATTTTTTATCCTTTATTTTATTCCAGCCAGCTATGATTAGATGCATTTGGAGTTACGATAAATCATGAACTGATAATCCCAGAGACGATTGCTTTTCTTTCTTTTAATCATGATGTGATCTGACGATTTTGATTTGGATTGGCAAAATAGTATGATAGATTGCGACGTGTGTGATGCGAGCTCAAAAGTGCGGTGGAATCAAGCGCGAAAGAGACCACAACAATTATTTTTCAACGCGGCGGGAATCCACAGGCAGTGTGAAAAGTTCGCATGTTGTGTCATGTCTGTCCTTTGGAGTTGCTGTTTTTTTTGTTTGCTTTGTCCGTTGCGTTGACAACTTTATTAATTTCTTATTGAAATTTACTGACGTTATTGAAAATTCCTTCAAATTATTCAAAAATTAAAATGATGTTACTTCTTTACTTCAGCTTTTGCCTTTATTATAAAAGGAAAATTAAATTTATTTGTTTTTTTAGTTTTCAACTTAAATATGATGGTGTATATATAATATAGTTGTCAAAAAGATTTTGATAGATCAATATAAACCGACCTTAAATCTAGTGATACAAAAATTAAAGTTTTAATGAATTGAGATCTATATCACTTATATATATTTTTTACAATACTTAATTAATCAATTAAAATTAAAAATTATGAAAGAATTTATCACTTAAAAACATGGGTTTTATCTAATTTTTTTAATAAGTCTTACATAATGTTAAATTATGATTGATTAATTATATTATAATAATTATAAGTGATATGTTTCAAATGAATGTATGTTAAATTGAATTTTAAAAATTAAAAATTAAATAGCTTTTCAACTAATTGAGAAAAAGTATAAATGTGCCAGAAAATCAGAGAGAAATAGACAATGGGACTCCACTCTCACATGCCAAAGCATTCCAACCTTGTAAAGCCAAGGTGGAAGGGTGGAGAGGATCAAAAGGGAATCTGATTTGATGATAAAGTATGGAAAATAATAGATAAATGGAATAATTAGGTATGAAATAGACAATTGTTCACTGCATGTGTATCATGATAATGATCAGATTTCATTTTATTCCAACTGTCATAATACCAAATCTTAACGTGTCATAACTCATTAACATTATTCTGTTATGCAATAAATGTAGATAACATTCTATGGTTGAGACATTGCTGAGGTGTTGATTGCGTGTTCATTAGATAGATAATTCATATAATTGTGTTATGTTATTTTGTATTAATTATTAAAAATTAATGATTCTTGATTAAATAAAATAATAAATTATTTTAATAATAAATCATCTTATAATTAAATTATTATAATAATTTTAAAAATGATATCACAGATTAACAGATAATAAATCAAGTTGGGTCCATGCGCTATTACTTTTTACTCGATAAGAACGAAAATCAAGGAATTGTCTGTTCATTTCTGGGTCCAAAACCAGTGAATATCGGGTCAGGGGTGGCCCAAGACAATGGGTACTCAAATGCCTAATGGCTAGCCCAAAACCCAAAAGAAATCCCACCTGCACCTCACGTGACCACCAAAAAAGTATTCGCCCACCCGCACCGTAATATTTCCCGTTCTAGATAAAATTCCTCTTTCGCTAGGGTTTTTGTTCCTCGCAGACAAAGCAGCGGTGGAGGCTTCTTCGAATCGAAAATGGTGAAAGGTCGCCAAGGAGAGCGCGTCAGGTCTTAATCTCTGAAATCCGAAAATTATTTTTCATTCCTCTTTTCCATTTGGTCTTTAATTTTTCTGTTTAATAGGCTTTACGTTCGTGGAACCATTTTGGGCTACAAGAGGTAACGGCAAAATTTCCCTTTTGGTCTGTTGAGCTGGTAAGGGAGTGCTTGGATTGGTGTTTAAAAAATCCGCTTTTGGTTTGGTGTGGTTTTGTTAAAGGTCGAAGTCGAACCAGTATCCGAACACGTCTCTGATTCAGATCGAAGGTGTGAACACGAAAGAGGAAGTAGGATGGTACTGTGGGAAGCGAATGGCGTACATTTACAAGGCCAAAGTGAAGAAGAATGGGTCTCGTTATCGTTGCATTTGGGGTAAAGTAACAAGGCCTCATGGTAACAGTGGCATTGTTCGTGCTAAGTTCAAGTCCAACCTCCCTCCCAAATCCATGGTAATTAACCAATTGTAATCAGCTAATTACTCATCAGCTTCTTTGTATCAGATTTGTTTGGTTTTGGTTTTGCTGATTTGGGTTTCTTGTTTTGGTTGAATAGGGTGATAAAGTGAGAGTTTTCATGTATCCTAGCAACATTTGAGGTAATTTGAAACGATTCTTTCACTCCCCTGACTGTTATTCTATTTAACAGCATTTTCCATTTTATGTGTAGTTGAGAAGTCATTCTAATATGATAACATTATACTCAAGTGATGCTCATTTCTGGATTCTTAAACTGTTGTGGATAGCTTCCTGTATGTAGATGATGAAATAAGTTTTGAAATTTGTCTTGGATTTTCCATGAATGAAGTAGTGATAGTGAAACTTGGAATGGTTATGGAAAATTCTGCTAAATTATAGTTACAATTTGTACTTCCTCTTGATCTTGTCGATTGATTAGTTCATTATCTCATGCTATAATGAATTTATATGCTGGTCTTAGTAGGATGGAAATCGATTTTGCATACATTTTCCTATTAGAGTTTATGTTACATGCACATTAATTTTATATATCTATATATATTTTTTGTCTTGCAGTGGGATGATGTAGATGAAGGATAGGCATTGCAAGTGGATAGGCTTAGTAGGGATTGAATCTCAATTTAGAGTTAAATTTTGGTCTTTTTGTATTTGAGAGCTCAATGATTTTTTTCAAAACTTACAATATTTCTTATGCTAATGATTATTGTTAGTTCTAAAAGTGGAATCTTTGTTGATCTACTATCCTTATTTCGAAACATGAAAATCTTGCTCTATTGCTTTTTGGAGCTTTGTTATTATAGCTATGTATTTAAATAAAATGAATGAATGTTTTCACTTTGATCATGATCTAATTGTAGCTAGAAAAGAGATTTTAGTGTCTTTTCCTTGGTAGTTGTTGTCAAGGATTTGGTTCCACTAGAGTTATATCTAAATTTCAATTGAAATTCATTTATTAATAAAAAATAAATCTTATTATGAGAAAAAAATTCCAATCTTGTTTTTGTGAGGTGATGACAATAGCATGGTAACAATATGTTAATCTGAAAAAAAATAAATAACAGAAAATTATAAATTTAAATCTTACATTAATTTTTGATTGAATATTTAAAAAATAAAACCTTCACTTCTTTTAATTAATAAAACTTATTATTAATCACTTAGAGGTGTTCATCGACTGGGTTTGAATCTAGCTTATGATTGATTTTAGTAATTTATATATTTGTTTAATCTTGGTTCAATTTCATATTTTGGGTTTTAAAATTTTTTAAAGTTCGATCCAAATTGAAAAAAATAAATAGTAAATCCATCATTAAACCTGATTTATATAAAAAAAAATTAAAATTTTTTAAAAAGAAATAAAAATAAAAATTTACATATATAGTTATATAATTATAATATTTTAATTATATATTTTATTAAGTTTGGTAGGGTCGGCTCAAGTTTTATTTTATTTTTTTCTAGTTCAAGACTCAATATGAAATTTAAGTAAGTTTAAAAATTATATTCAAATTCGTTTAATAAATTTTAATTTTTTATTCAAATTAAAATTTTATACTTGTTTGAATTTATATTTTTGTTTAAGTTTGGTTCAATTCGATATTTCGGATTTTAAAATTTTTTTAAATTAGGTTCAAATTAAAAAATAAATAGCAAGTTCATTTATTAAATTTAATTTATATAATAAAAAATAAAAAAGTTACATATATAATTATATAATTATAATATTTTAATTATATATTTTATTTGAATCTTATAGGGTCGGCTTAAGTTTTAACTTTTTTGTTGAAGATTCAATTCAAAATTTAAACAAATTTTAATTGTTTTGTTTAGTATTCAATCTAAAATTTAAAGGAATTTAAAAATTATGTTCAAATTCATTTAATAAATTTCTTTTTCTTAAATTCTTGCAAAACTTGGACGATGGGCGAATAGCTAAGCTTTTGAAAAAAGTCTACCATCACCTTTGTATCGTGAAATTTTTTCAATCAAATACAAAAAAAAAAAAAAAGAAAAAGTCTTTTTATCCACTACTCCAATTCCAAATGGCTTTCTTTGATTGGCCAAAAAATTTAGAAATGCTAATAGATAAAAGGCTAGGAAGCCCAATAAAGAAGACAGGCCTTAATCCAGGAGCCCAAAAAAAGCTTTTTACGTATAGGACCAAACAGCAATTTCACAAGCTTCATTAATTGAGAGCCGTGCGAAATTTGATTCGATTGTCCCTTAAAAAAAAAAGGAAAAGAAATTTGGTTCGATTTTGATTTCGTGGAATAGTCGAAGAAACAAGAGGAAAAAAGATGCTTCAAATCCGATTAAGCAAGGGCCCATCCTCCGACGCTGGCAGCACCTTGAAGCCCTTGCCAGTGGAAACGGTGACGGTAGCGTGCCCCGACCACCTCGTTCTCGCCGACCTTCCCGTTGCCAAGAGCATTGGCTCCGCCACCTCCTCCTCGCTCGTGAAGACAATTGGTCGGAGGTCCCGTCGCCAGCTTGGCGAGCGAGTCCACTTCTGCGTTCGCTGCGATTTTCCGATAGCGATCTACGGCCGCTTGGTACTTTTTAATAATTATTACTATGTTTATTTAGCTTTGAATTAAAATCAATTAATTTGTGAAAGAGTAGAGTAATACTAACTAATGAATAGATAATAGTTTCCTTGCTTGGTATAGACTATTGAATATTAGGTTCGCTTTTAAGCGAAAACTTGAAACTTTAGGGTTTTGATTGTTGGCTAAGGGTTGCAATTGTGCAAAAGTTGTTGCTAGGAGTTCTTTCGTATATTGGTATCTGTTTTATGTATTTGAAAATGTCTATGTTTTTTTCTTTTGGTTGCAGAGTCCTTGTGAGCATTCCTTCTGCCTGGATTGTGCAAGGAGTGATTCAATTTGCTACCTGTAAGTGATCACTTCTTAATTCTTTAATGCAAAATTGTGTTTAAAGATTCGTAGAATTTCATAGCTATTTTATCCATTTGTTTTCTTGAATGGTTCATGAGTAATCACAGCCATGATCAAATAGTTTAGGGGCGTTTCTTGTCTTTTTTGCTTTTTCCCTGATACTCTGGTGTTTGTTTGTTTTCTTGTGGAAAAGTCAGATTCTACCTGATTCATGAACTAATTTTTAGTTTGTTTAAACACAAGTAACTTGACATTGACAAAAATTATTGTTTCTTATTTTTTGCACAGGTGTGATGAACGTATACAGAAGATTCAGACAATCAAGATAATGGAGGGGATCTTCATCTGTGCAGCCCCTCACTGTCTTAAGTCGTTTTTGAAGAAGACCGAATTTGAATCTCATATCCATGAGAGCCATGCTGACCTTTTACAGCCTAACGCAGAGAAGGAAGGTGGTAAAGAATCAGAGGTTCAGAGTGCTAAACAACCTACAGGTTCAGGTTCCACTGTTCTAGGTCCTTCAAGGCATGCCATTTCTCCTGGCTCAAACCCCCAGCTCCATGATACTGAAGACAAAGCTTATTGGCAGCAGCCCAGAGAACAACTGCCTCCAAGGCCAATGATGCAGCCGAAGGGGCCGCCAGTATTTGGCCAAGTTCACAATTATCCATTAGAGCCCCAACCAGACAATAACCATCCCCCAGGCTTTGACAGACCTGGCCCTCACAACCACTTCCAACAAGGTTTTGACAGGCCGGGCACCCCACAACCAGAATCTAGCCAGTTTTCTGACAAGCAGCAGGGACTTTTATCTGAGAACCAGTTTTCAGAATACCCCTCTATGCATTCTACGCAACCACCAAACTTTGTTATGCCAATGAATTCGAACCCTATGTTAACTCCATATGGCATTCCTCCATTTCCATCCGATGGAGCTCAACCATTTTATGGTGCTCCATATGAGATGGCCAGGCCGAGTTCAGCACCAGATTTTGGTTCTGAACAGGGGTCATTGTTGGGTTTCCCACCGGGTCCAGCTGGGGGGGTAAATTATCCAGTAGCTTATCCTCAGCCGTGGAATGGAGGGCAACCTGGAGTCCACTTTGAATCTATGCCAGCTGGTCACATGACGGGGGAGGGTTTTGCAAATTATCAAGGCGATTATGGGCGAAATCCTGGAGGTTTACCAATGATTCCTCCCCCGGCATCAGCCAACAAAGGGATGGAAGCTGTCCAAGGTACTGGTGCCATAGACCCTAGGGATGGCGAAGGTATGTTGGCACCACAGCCCATGCAAGTTCCGCCACCACCTCCACCACTTCTGCATCATATGTCACAACTTAAACGAGGCAAGTTCCACTCTGGTGATATGGGTCGTGGTGGCCAAGGGTTTGGGTGGCAACATGAGAACCATGATGGCTTTGCAGGTAGCCAGGACTAGAAATTGTTTGTTTTTTTTGCTGTTAAAATGTGATCTTCTTTCCTTTTGGGTCTTTGATTAAGCTTTGTAATGGGCCGCCCATATCTTAATTTCTTAAGAGCATTCTGCTCCCTGTTATATCATTTAGATTTAATTTGCAAATTTATGATTTCCTTTAGGTTCTTCAATGGAATTTTCTATATAATATTCAACTGTTAATTGAAATATCCTTTTCTCCACTGCCTCTCGTTTGGTTCAGATCGGATTATTCAAGTTTTGAGCCATTGAAAGAGTAAAGGATTATCATGACAGGCCAACCTGCCTACATTAACTAGTATAACATGTCTGAAAAAGTAAAAACTATATTTCCTTGTTTAGATGTTCCTTAACTATTCATTTCACTAAAAATAATTTCATTGAGTGGTAACTTCCCTAGGATCTGGTCAAAACCTAATGAACTCACACGCCGGAAACAATAAATCAGAGAGGAAATGCATTTCTACACATCCCTGATGCTCAATAAGAAACGCTGGTATTCGCAAACAGAAAAGAAGAAAACTTAAGAAGAAACAAAGGAAATCAGCTTAACTTCTGCATCTCCAAAATCCATTTCCGGATTCTGTTCGCAAACGTGGAATCAAATTCCACATACAACTGCTGCATTTTCCCACACCCATTTATGACATGAATCAATATAGTCTTCGTATCTCTCGTAGAGTGCTGGAACTGTGAGAATAACAACAAGGCCTGTCAGAAGGAAAATGGATAAACAGTTATGGTACTGGAATCTGAGATTCGTACACTCAAAATATCTCTAGAATTATAAACACTAAGAGAAACAATGCATGTACCATGAAATTCTTCTTTACTTTCCTATTGGGACTCGAAAGTAGTCTGAGAAAGGTAGTCTTTAAATCTATCCCCTCCCCCCCCTGTTGTAGATGATGATGATGATAACAAATTGGAATTGAAACTTACTGGTGTAACCCAAAGTAAGGAAATCAGTCAAGCCACCAATAACAGAAATCAGCAACAAGGATGTAGCAACCTTGAAGAACAACCTTGCATTTTTGCCCAATGCAATATCCTGAGAGACTGAGAGCAAATCATTTACATGGGTTCGGATGAAAGCTCCCACTTCATTTACCATTTCTTCTGATAGATACAATTCCGGAAGAGGTGGAGCAGGTCTATTTTAAAACAACAATAAGTAAACTTCATTAATTACCGGTTTAAGTAAACTATATCTGAGTTTGAGTAGCAAACTGCATTAATTACCGGTTAAGAATTGCAGCAGATTTGGCCCAGAGAAATAGAATGACAATGAGAAGGAGGAGAACGCTAGAGACAAGTGACAACAGAGTGTAGCCAGATTTCTCAAATACCACCCAAACAGTCAGAGTAACCATCAAGATCCCCATAGTCAAATTCCCTCGCCTCCACAACATCACATCTGCTACTGTTCAAAGCAAAAACAATCATCAACCTTTTTGATGTGCATAAACTCTAAAACTAACCGGTAAATGACATTAGATCAAGGATTGTCATTCACTGTATTAAAGAAGAAGTCTCATATACCATCAAGCAACATCTTTGATCCAAAAGATGTAAAGCAGAAGTTACAGAAAGGATCAGGGAAGATCCACTTCACAGTGAAAGAACTACAAAACTAATGAAGTTCTATGGGGATTCCATCTAGCTTATCAAAATGAATTCAAATTAAAAACCCAATACTGAAAAAGTAAGATACTTTACCTAAACCTCCCCCAAGGATCTCATGAACGGTTCTCTGTCTGTTAAACAATCGATTAGGTAAACCCATTTATAAAAAACTGGAAGTAGACCCTTTAGTTGAATCAAATATCATCAGATCTTTTAAACCCAAAATATAGATGGTTTTGAGATGATCATCAGGCTTCAGAGGAAAAAAAGATATAAAAGCAACAGGTTTCTTAAACTTTTATCAATGTCCTTGGAATTACATGGGGATAGCTGTTGAAAGCAAGGTTGGTGGCCACAGATTCCAGCCTAAAAGCGTCATCCCACTCATTCCTTTTCCAAATTTTCTTCTTTTTGTTTTTCTTTCAAATTCCAAATATTATCCACCCAACAGATTCTCATGTGCCTTGTTTCCTACGATGTTAGAAGTTTTAAGGTTAGACCTGTTGTTTGACGAGGTTGTCCTAAAATGCAACATAGTAAATGAACTATAATACATACTTTACAGTTCATAGTAAAATTTAGTGCTCTCAGGGTTTGGATTGGTGGGGTATTTTGGAATTCAGCAAGGTTATTATCGTACTCGAGTTGGCCAGCTGGATGTTCTACACCATGTTTCACGAGCAGGCAATGTTGTAGAAAGACGGCACATTTCGGGGAAAACGAAGGTCGTCGTCATTCATAACAGAAAATAGCCACTTCCTGACCTCGGTTTTGGCTTTTGTCTGAAAACGACCAAAGCGTTCAAAACGGTCAAGGGAAATGTTATCTAACAGAACCGATTTTAAAACTGCCTGTTATGTGATGTGTTGGCAAGGCACAGTTAAAACATGGAGGCATAAACCAACAATGCCCCAAAAGAAACTAAAGGAACCATGGCTGAAACCCTGAAGCAGAGATAATCTATAGACTATCAGCAAAACTACGAGGATTTATCTCAGAAAAGTTGCATTTTACAATGTTAAATTTCGACATGAAAACGTGTAATGAATGTATATACTGCACAATGCATCAACCTCGCGCCAAAGATGTTTGTTCAAACCATCTAAAATCTGACGTGAATCATTGTCACTAGCCCAGCAAATACATATAAAAAGAATATTTCTTATGCAGTTTTTTTCCTGGTTATTTTTATTTTGAGTTTTAGGAGTGCTAGCCTCAGCACTGGCTGTAGCTGGGGAAGAATCCATCAGACTGGCAGCGATTGCAGCCTTCGAATCCTCATCTTCCATATCTGAAAGCATTTGCATGTCTGTCTCATCCAATGAAAGCAACCCCTCAGGATGCTGTTGAGCCATATTTTTTCTCTGGGGGCCCTCTTTTGGGAAAAAGTGGAGGTTGAAATGCAAGCTTTGTCATGTTTAAATAAGAAGGCATGGGAATGAATTCTGACTTTGGATTTCAGTACCAAATGCATTAGTATCAAACTTAGATCACAATCGATGTTCAAACAGTAACCACCGGCCAAACATTTAAGAAATTTCAGAGTTCAAACAAATTTTCCTCCTCGTAAAAAGTTATTTAGGAGGAGAATCAACTGGCTAAACCAATTGGTGAAATTGATATGAACCTGGAAACATAGAGCAAGAGCAAGAAAGAGAGAGTGACATGGTACATCTTCCATGAATAAAGATACAAAAATGTGTTGAGAACACCCCACTCTGTTCTGTTAATCATATTCTATTGGTAAGATTCAGTGTTTTAATCTGTTCATTTGTAGCAAATTCTCTCAGACAAGTAGATCGTAATGGTTTCTACCGCTATAAAGGAGCCTCACAACTTTCCTCGGTTTTCCTTTTCTGGAGCCCTTGCGGAACTCAGCTCCATATTCTGCAATGGGAATAAAACCTGAGCCCCAACCAGCCTTTCTATGCTGCAATATTGTAAACACAAAATAAATATATTAATGCAGCATCAAACTGAGAGGATAAAAAGGTCAAGTGCATGTACACACAATCATCACAATCATGTGGAGAAAGTCAGGCTGATGCATGTACATACGTAATGATCAACTTGGCTCTAGCAACAATTCATTTTCATTGACAGATATAAGGCCAGTGGATTGTATAGGCAATTAGAACCCGTGTCACTCGTTCATCAACGAAACTTGAAATAAAGGTTAGCAAACAATACTTGATCTTGTAAATGTCACCAAAAAGAAGGCCTAAATATGCAAGTTTAAGTTACCCTAGGCGTACACACACAGCTTAACACAATTAAACAACAAAAGATAGGATGTAAAGATCATTAAAACAGGGGGGAAATCAAGCTTCAAAACCAGCCTAAAATTTTAACAAACATGACAACTTTTACCCCCTGGAGACCAACATACCTCATGCTCTGGGATATAAACAACTATTGGCTGACCACACAGTCTTGAAAGCACCTGGGACAGAGTTCATGGACGTTAATCAGTATCTGTTGTTTCTCCAAACAAGTGCACAGAGAATAGAGATATGAGTTATGAGAAAATGGACGGCCTCTTCACGAATTCAATAACATAAACACTATTAATTTAAGGCTTAATTTAGCAATCAAGAACATCTCCCCCCATAAAAATAAAAGGCAGAGGAAGTTGGTGCAAACACATTAACAACTCATCTTATTCAGAACTTTGTTAATACATTAGCAGTGAAGTTTATGTTAAAGAGAAAGAGTCTAATAAATATAAATCAAAAGAACACTAACCAGGAGCTCCGACTCGCCTCCCCAAAAATCAGGTCGTTGAATGCGTTGGCAGTAACTGCAGAAGTTGATAGATTCTCATAACAAGGGTATGCTAAGGAATGGATCCGAAAATTAAGAGCTAAAAGTCTAAAAAGTTTCAATGAGTCAGCAGCAAGATTAGAGAGTAACCGTTTCAAAGACTCCTCTACTGTAATTGCAATCAAAGCATCTTCATACTGCTGCCGCTCTTTACCACTATCACATAAAACCTCTTTCACAGCCATTCGTAATTCATCTGCAATGATATGAATCTGAGTTTAGTACTGTATCTAACAAGTTTGAAGCCTATGGACTAAATAACTTGCTAATAAATAAATAGAACGTGTAATCATGCTGATGCTTTTGGTTTCTCCATGAATCTTGAATTAATAAACTAAAGAATAAGCCCTTGCTTCTCAACCATTGAAAATGTCTACGAGGAAGAGTGGGGAAGAAGGGTGGAGGAGCAGAAATATGAATAGATTTTCAGGCAAAGTAACAGACATCTCACTAAACTCAACCACACTACCTTGATATTTGGAACTGCTAAAAGAATTCAAAGAAGAAAAGCAAAAGAATTAAAGAAAGATGGTATGTGCGACAGCTACTTTGAGTGAACATGAAGTACATGAATCATACCTGCATCATATCTCTCTTCCCGGGGGCTTAAAGCAATACCCTTGTTGAACGACATCCCTTTGACCTGAATCCCATCAATTAGAATTAGTTCAGGAGCAACAATGATATATCTCTGAATTTCCTGAGGTCACTTATCTGTTCTTTCATTATTATATCAGTTAAGCTGAAAGTCTATAACGGGGAAGGAAAAGTTTTGGCACAAATGGAGTGCAAAATCAGGTAGTATTATATTATATATGGTGTTCATATAATTACAGACAAATAGCAAAACCAACATTTGTTAGTGGAAGAACTCGAAGGCAAAGATTGCTGTGAAACTACCAATATAGGTTCAGGATCAAAACAGAACATCATTATCTCAACAGACTCAACCAACATCATCCACAGCTACCAACTCCAACCATTGGCTTTTCTCCTGAATAGTTCGATTGAAGTGATATGACTGTTAAAAGTACCACTTAAAAAGTAAACAATTCTTCATCCTTTTTCCTTGAATGTGGCAACTTGGTAAACTAATTTAATACATGTGAAAATGGTACCCCGAATTCCGATTCACTCAAAGCTACCCAGAGTCAAGTGATAAACAAAGACAAGTGTTACCAGTGCTCGAAATAGGCAGCGGCCATCCCCAGTAACTTTGTGAACTGAAAAATGCTCAACTTTCCTCGTTGCTGGCGACTCACCTCCCCTTCATTAACAAAAACGGACCAAAAATAAACATGAGATTGTGAAAGACGGGTTTTGGGTTAAAGACAAGGAATGAGGAAAAATAAGAGCTTTACAGAGAAGGTCCAATTCTAGCAAAGAATCGATTGCTGTTATTTCCTAGGAAAGCTGTGGGCAATGTGTGAAAGACGCTTGGAGTTGCAATAGACGAAACAGGGGAAGACACAAGCTCGAACTTTGCAATCCCATTTCTGATTTGCTCGAGAATGTTCTCTGCTTATTTTAGCAGAAAAAAAAAAAAAAAAACAAATCTGAGAATTCATACCAAAAATAAGAAAAAAAATTTACCCGGGTTTGAATTGACAAGTTAAAGATCACCATTAAGAAGCTTGTCCGCCATCAAACATCGACCATAGGAAAACAATGACAATGAAAATTGCTGCGGAGCATTGGATAAGGCGACGGCAGTAAATCTCTGCCCAGTCCTCTATAGGAAACAGAAGCGCTGCATTTCAAGAATCCGTTGTAGTCTAGTTGGTTAGGATACTCGGCTCTCACCCGAGAGACCCGGGTTCAAGTCCCGGCAACGGAAATATCCCCTTTTGTTCCATCCTACACGTGCCAGATGGTGAGGTAACACACTAACACCCATTTCCTTCTACGGCCAAACCCAAAAATGTTGGCTCTTTAAAACAAAGCACAAACTCACTTTCTCTATCTGGCCTCGTATAAGAAGTATCGACATGGCACCACCCACTCTCTTTTTAATGTTAGAACAAAAAATTAGTAAAACCAAACAAGCCCTTGGATTGACGATCTCCGCGAAGCTCTCTCTTTCTCATTCCTTGAAAATTAATAAAATCCCATTTCTCTTCTCCAACCTTTCAACTATTTTCTCTCACCTCCTCTTTCATTCACTTTCTGGTAAATCCCCGACTAGTTTCAGCTTTTTTTTTTTTTTTTTAAATTTACTTTTGATGCATGCTGATTCATAATCCATACGTCGTGATTGTTCTTTTTTTTTTATATTATTTTAATGATGTTCTGCTTGGTTTCAAGTTTGTATTTTTCAGTTAAAAATGTGCATATTCAGCTCAAATATATGTAAACTAAATATTCAGAGGAATTTATTGGGACATTTTTATGGAAAAATCAGATATCAAAATATTACTCGTGTGCTCAGAGGATGCTAAAAATAGGAACTTTCTTTATTAATTTTTTTCCTTTTTCTTACTGTTTAAACTATTTTGACAAATTTCCTTTTTTCTAAACATTATATTGAAAATTTTAGATTTAATTATTTTGATTTTGATTATAGAGATTGGAGAAATCAAATTTTGGAGTGGAAGATGGCTTCCATATGTCTGCATTTACTGGAACTTCAGCTTCCAATCTTCTCGGGAGCTCCAGTAATGGCGTGAGTGGTGGCATCCCTCTTAAAACCATTGGGAAGGCACGGTTTGCCGTGAAAAGGAGGGATGTAACTGTAGCTGCGAAGATGAGGAAAATAAAGAAGCATGAACACCCGTGGCCCGCAGATCCGGATCCCAATGTGAAAGGCGGAGTCCTAACACATCTCTCACATTTTAAGCCATTAAAAGAAAAGCAAAAGCCTGTTACTTTGGATTTTGAGAAGCCCCTTGTTGATTTAGAGAAGAAGATTATTGATGTAACTCTTATTTTTACTGTTTTGTTGATTTAGTTGATAATAATATGCTCGTCTTTGATTCAATGTTGCGCTTGTTTCGAATGCAGGTGAGGAGGATGGCAAACGAAGTTGGTTTGGGTATCACTGATCAGATTATATCATTGGAAAATAAATATCAACAGGTTTGAGTATTAAGTTTGAGACATCGTGAGTGTTTTTGTTGCTTCCATTTAGTGATGAAATTTCTAAGTTATACGTTTTTATAATTCTCTGAATCAATTTCTATTCAGCCTGTTAATGAGAGTGATGTTGAAGTATGGAATTTGTTTATGTGGGTTAAATGTAATTATGCCAACGCTGAATTTTAAGCCTGGAACTGGAAGTTTTATTCTTCATATTGGGCAAACAAAGTTTTTGCTGTTGTTCTTGCTATGGCATTTATTATTGAATATTTAGAACTTGATTTTAGTTTTGGATTCATTCACTTATTGCAGAGGATGAGCTTTGTGTAAATTATCAAATTTTAAGTGCATTTTAAGATGCTGATGATCTGTGGAAGATATTTGCATATCAACATGTTGGTGGTTTCCACATCTAATTCTTCTCACCCTTTCTGTATTTATTTCAGGCTCTAAAGAAATTATACACGAATCTGATCCCAATACAACGTGTGAACATTGCCCGGCACCCCAACAGACCTACATTCCTTGATCATGTGTTTAGCATTACCGATAAGGTTTGGTGGTTACATGCTCTTCAACTTTCGGATATTAACTGTTGCATTTTCTCATCAATATTATCTTTAACATCCAGTTTGTGGATGGTAAAGAATTGTCTTAATAAATGTCTTTTGTATATTCCCATATGTCCAGTTTGTGGAGCTTCATGGAGATCGAGCAGGGTATGATGATCCAGCTATTGTTACTGGTATAGGAACCATAGATGGTGCAGACACGCCGTTTTGTCCGGGATTCTTTTTCAATTAAAGCTCAGTTGTAGGGATTTTTTTCATTTTTATTTTTATTTTTTTTATTTCATATTTATCATTTTTATATTTTATTTTATGATTTATTTTCTTTTTCTTTCTTTTGATTATCTGATTAATTAAAAAAAAAAGAGAAAAAAGCTGAAAGATTGAGATTAAGCTTGGTGATTGTGATGATTGTTATTTGGATGCTAATCTTTAGCATTGGATAACTAATTGGAATTGAATTGAAACTCTATCAGCATGGGTTTATATATCAACAATGAATATACAAGCTGAAAAGGGGGGGATTCACAATTTTAAAGGGAGGAAAAAGATAGAAGAAGAATCCGAATAGGAAAGGGAAAAGAAAAAACAAAGGGGGAAGCCCTATCTCTATTAGGCCCTCAAGGCCTCTCTTTGGTGGGTGATCTCCCCTTCCATGACCCGAGAAGTGCTTAAAAACCAAGACATTGCATTTGCCAATCATGACGTGCTTGTGACTGCCCTTTGAGCAAACGACAGATGTGACATAGCTTGGAACCCTGGGTTGAGCTGCTGAAATGGAGAAGCTAGCTAGACAGTCCGTGTATGACCATGTAAAGGCGAAATCATTGAAGCAAGATCTTAAGAGGGAAGAGAAATTCTGGAGATGTCAGTCTCGGGTTCAACGGTTTCAAGCTGGTGATAAAAAGACAAGTTCTTTCCCATGCTTTGTGTGTTCAGAGGCGAAGGCATAATCAAATTCAGGGATTGGTTTTTATGACAGTGGTATGTGGAAAGAGGATCATGAGGGTATTCGGCGTGTGATACACGACTCTTTTTTCATCATTTTTACTTTTTGCAGTCCGTAAAATATTACAAAAGCAGTGAGTGGTATATCTCGGGTATTACACCTACAATGAATGAAGCTCTTGTGAGTGATGTCACAGAAAAAGAGATTCATGTTGCATCACTCAAAATTCACCCCAACAAGGTGCTTGGGCCTGACGATTTCTGAAGAAATAGCCCAAGTCAACCAGATGGAGTTACGATCTGGCAAGAAATTACCTCCCGTTCCGAATTATGGTAAAAATCTTGTGCAAGAGTTGTCTCAGTCTAAGAATAGATCATCCCCAAATCCTGAAAGTCTCGTCCAGGATCATGGTCTATCGCAAAATCAAAACCCTGAGGGCATCTCGTTAGATCGAGGTGCTGGAGGCACCCTCTCGAGCCAAAACAAAGTTACCCAACGAAGGATATCACGAATGCTTGTTGGTTAAACATTAGCGGCTAACCCCTATGGTCCTGAGTGCAGGATGTTAAGAAAGCAAAGCTATGCCACAAGGCTGGATCGCCTGTCAATGGCCAGCCTTGGCACCAAGTTCGGGTACATCATCTCAGAAATAATGGAGACTTTGGGTCTGCCCAATATTTTTTATTTTCTCCCAGCCTTGGCACCAAGTTCAGGCATGTCATATCAGAAATAATAGAGACCTTGGGTTTGCCCAATATTTTTGATTTTCTCCCAGCCATGGCACTGCAACGCCACGTCGATGAGGATGATGCTTCGATATCATGGAGGAAACGGAAGAAGCACTTCTTTATTTTGAGTAATTCTGACAAACCAGTAAATTTCAGATGTAGTGATGAACACAAACTAGTTGGTGTTTCAGCAACACTTCAAGCCATTATTTCTTTCGTGGAGAATGGGGGAGATCGTATCAAATTGGTGAAGGCTATGGACAATTTAGTGGAGCCGCATCGAATTCCTTAAGTCAAGATATATATATTTTTTTGGGTATTTTATTTATTTATTTTTTTATGCGTTAGTTATTTTCAGGAGTATTTTATTTTATTTTTATTTTTATTTTTTGCAAAAAATAAAAATATTCAAAAAGAAATATTTTTGAGAAAAAGTTGAAAGTATCAATTTTTCTTAAAAATAAATTTTCAAAAAAGATTTTTTTGAGAAAAAGTTGAAAGTATCAATTTTCTTTAAAAATAAATTTTTTAAAAAAATGTTTTTTTTTTTTTGAGAAAAGTTGAAAGTATCAATTTTTTTCGAAATCAAAGTTTCAAAAAAAATATTTTTGGAAAAAAATTGAAAGTATTAATTTTTCTTAAAAATAAATTTTCAAAAAAGATTTTTTTTGAGGAAAAGTTGAAAGTATCAATTTTTCTTAAAAATAAATTTTCAAAAAATATTTTTTTTGAGGAAAAATTGAAAGTATTATTTTTTCTCGTAATCAAAGTTTCAAAAAAAAATATTTTTAGAAAAAAGTTGAAAGTATCAATTTTTCTTAAAAATAAATTTTTAAAAAATATTTTTTTTGAGAAAAAGTTAAAAGTATCAATTTTTCTTGCACAAAAATAATCATTTTTTTTTTTTTTAATGTTAAATAATTCAACGATGGAGCATCTGTAAGTGAAACAATAGTTTTCTTGCATACTCTTGAGGTGAGAGAATTTTTTCAATTTTTTGCTAAAAGTGTTAGAGTCAATTGAGAATAATTTTTAATAATTAATTACTTGGTAAATTTTTAAGGCTCATTGGATAACACAAGTTTAAGTTGGTACCATATTTTGATGGGCGTTGTGAGGGTGCTATAACCTTTCTCATACGTAACCGAACTCCCGAACCCTATTATGGTTAGTAGATCTGAACTTATTTTTTTAAGGACCCCTTAAATTTAGGTGTTCCCTGAAAGGACAGATTTTTTAGGTGATCAATCGCACCTAGATAAAAAGATTGGTGGCGACTCCTTCAAGTCAATGTCTAGCGATAGATCTCCGGATCTAGATGTTATGACAGCTTGGCGACTCCATTGGGGAAGTCCGAGAGTCAGGCCAACAAATAAATTTGTGTTATCCAAAAGCC